TCAACAAATGGGCCAAGGACCTGAACAGACACTTCTCAGAGGAGGACATACAATCAATCAACAAGTACATGAAAAAATGCTCACCATCTCTAGCAGTCAGAGAAATGCAAATCAAAACCACCCTAAGATACCATCTCACTCCAGTTAGATTGGCAGCCATTATGAAGTCAAACAACAACAAGTGCTGGCGAGGATGTGGGGAAAAGGGTACACTTGTACATTGCTGGTGGGACTGCAAATTGGTGCAGCCAATTTGGAAAGCAGTATGGAGATTTCTTGGAAAGCTGGGAATGGAGCCACCATTTGACCCAGCTATTCCCCTTCTCGGTCTATTCCCTAAAGACCTAAAAAGAGCATGCTACAGGGACACTGCTACATCGATGTTCATAGCAGCACAATTCACAATAGCTAGACTGTGGAACCAACCTAGATGCCCTTCAATGGATGAATGGATAAAAAAAATGTGGCATTTATACACAATGGAGTATTACTCTGCATTAAAAAATGACAAAATCATAGAATTTACAGGGAAATGGATGGCATTAGAGCAGATTATGCTAAGTGAAGCTAGCCAATCCCTAAAAAACAAATGCCAAATGTCTTCTTTGATATAAGGAGAGTAACTAAGAACAGAGTAGGGTCGAAGAGCATGAGAAGAAGATTAACATTAAACAGGGATGAGAGGTGGGAGGGAAAGGGAGAGAGAAGGGAAAATGCATGGAAACGGAAGGAGACCCTCAGAGTTATACAAAAGTACATACAAGAGGAAGTGAGGGGAAGGGGAAAAATAATACAAGGGGGACAAACGAATGTCAGTAGAGGGGGCAGAGAGAGAAGAGGGGAGGGGAGGGGAGGGGAGGGGTGATAGTAGAGGATAGGAAAGGCAGCAGAATACAACAGACACTAGTATGGCAATATGTAAATCAATGGATGTGTAACTGATGTGATTCTGCAATCTGTATATGGGGTAAAAATGGGAGCTCATAACCCACTTGAATCAAATTGTGAAATATGATATATCAAGAACTATGTAATGTTTTGAACAGCCAACAATAAAAAATTAAAAAAAAAAAAAAAAGAAACCTATTTTTTCTCAAATATTATAATTGAAAATAGAGAATAATGTTGCTAAGATGTGTAATTATTTAGGTTAAAAACAATATTTGACATAAAGCAAAATCTTAATACTCTTTGAGTTGGGATACTAAACTGAAGATAGTTTAAAAATGCTGCTGCAATATCCATGACTTTGAACAGAAAATATTCAATTCAAGGATTACTAAGGAGGAGGGCAGTAGCTACATAGGAAGAAAAATAGAGCAGGGTTCTTAGAAATTTATTCTTCTAATCTGCCTGTTAATTGTGTTACTAGGGTGAGACTGAGAAAAAGGCAGGGTTTTTTAAGCTAGGAAATTAGAAAGTAGTTAAAAAATGGAGACTCAAATAAATATCTAGGAATTATGTAGTCCTTCATCTTCAAAGAAAAAAATATATACTATTATTGCTTACAAAAATCAAATGTGAATCTATTACTGGATAATGATGCGAGGATTATAAATCTGAAAACAAAATAATAACCTAAAGAATTCAAGCAGTAACCTTGGGATCATCTGAAGTACTTGAATAATTGAAGTGAAAGTGGCTTTAGCCCAGATCATTCAGATGATTGTCTTAATTCTAAAATCATTTGGCTGATAGAGACCTTTCTTTAGGATGCATTTTTGGAATACTGAATGTTGAAGAAAAAACCTCCTAAATTAAGCAGTGTGGTGGTGGTGGGATGAGGAAAAGACAGAGAAAAGAGAGATTTGATTGTCAGAATAAGATAAGATTTTTCTATCGTTATTATTTTTTCAATAGCTAACATCCACATTTTCATCATAGAATAAATAAACTTCTTAGAAAAAAAGGAAATCCAAATGGAGTTCAATATACCCCATAGTATTTTTAAAAATTGTAAAGTCTTTTTAAAGCTTTAGGAGCCTTGCCACAAAACTGTTTGCCAACCTCCCCTATAGCTGAATGTGTCATGTGACTACATTCCAGTCCATCACTGGAAGTGCTATGTTTGACTTCTAAATAAGATGCTTTCTTCTTTTTTTTGGACAATTTCTGACCTACAATACAGACAAGGTGCCTGCATCTCCAGTAGCCATCTTGGATCATGGCACGAACTTAATAATGGGAGGTTTGCAAGAGAATGGTGGAAGAGGAAGAAAGTAGGAACCTGAGTCCATGATGACTATGGAGCTGTTATACCTTCCCTGGGGTGCTCCCTCTGCACTTCTTTTTTACTACAGAGAGTAATAAAGTGTATCTTGTTTAAGAAACTTTTGTTTCCAGTCACTGTTACTAGCAGGTGAACACATAAATCCTAAATGATGCATATATTAAGGTATGAACTGAAAAGATTTTGGAATTTTAGGGTTAAATTTCTTGATCAATGCCATGGTGTCTCTCTCTTTCCTTCCTTCCCTCCCTCTCTCATAAACACACATTCCAATTTGTAAGAAAGAAAACCAAATTGTTAGGTGACACTGTACCAGAATACATTTTGTGAAATTGTAAAGGAAAACAATTTTTAGTGGGAACTTCAGGAAGTGAAAAAAGTTAAGCATTATTTAAGAAGTTTTCAGTGTGCATACATACAGTAAAATAACAACAAAACATTGGGGAGGGGAGGAAAATGTAGAAATTGGATTCAGCAATAGATTATTAATAACTATTTTTTTTAACTTTTGCAGATTTAGTTTAATAGCAAGGGAGAAAGGAAATCAATATATAGATTAATGTATAGCGCAATTTATCTTCTCATCAGAAGCTTCCCCAATTCTCTCTACCTTTCAGGAGCCAGCTCTTCTAGTAAGCCCTTGATGATTCCACAGTAGGAACTACCTCTGTTCTTCCTGCATTTATCAAGACCAGAACTAAGATACAGCAAGTAAAGCATTTGTCTTAGGCACAAAATTTAAAGGGAGTGCCCCAAAGCTCAATAATCAAGATAAATATTTTAATTGGCCCACTATAATATGTGGTCCAGTCTCTTGTTTTTCTAAATAAGTTTTTAATTATATTTTGCTCTTATGGTCTATTACAGCACTCAAATAGTGCTTTTTATAAAAGCCCTCTCCTGGGGTTGGGGTTGTAGCTCCATGGTGAAGTGCTTGCCTTGTAGGGGTGATGCACTGGGTTCAATCCTCAAGAATACATAAAAATAAATAAATAAATAAAATAAAGGTATTGTGTTCACCTACAACCAAAGATATTTTTTAAAAAAGTCCTCTCCCAGCAGAGCTCTACTTCTTTTGTGTTCCTTATGTATCTATTACTGTTTTAAGCATAAAGACTTCTTTAAAAATATTGAATTAAATTGATTAGAGGAGTTTTGCAAGAATCTACTGGACTGGGGACTGTGAGATCAAGTTTCATTGTTAAATTCAACCACAGCAAAAGAATAACAGAACGATGAATATTTTGAAAGTACTTAAATTTTAGTATCATAGGATCATTACCTGGTTTCTTTTTGACTAAAACCCTTCTGGATCCTTAAGATATAAAAAATTGTAATATTACAGCACTTTGCTCTACATAAAGTACTTCTTTTAATTCTCATATTATCCTGCAAGGCAGGTATTGTTGCCCTTATTTATCCTGAAGAGAGATTGAGAAGGAGTTATAGGCAGAAGTGGCAGAAGTGGGGCTCGAACCTGCATTCACTCTGCCAAACTCCAGTGCCCTTTCTACTACTCCAAATACTTTGTCTCAGAGATGACTGAGAAGAAACAATTTTTGTAGCAAGTACAATAGCATTTGTTGTGTTTATGAAACAATGTAGGCTATACCCCAACTGCAGCATTTTACCAACCATTCTAATAGATTAAAATGTTGTGATTGTGTGCCTATGGTTTCATGAAGTAGTTTAAGTCTTCAGGAATAGGATCTGATGTTTAATGGTATTTTTTTGGGGGGTAGAGGGCAGGTACCTATCTATTGAGGAAATTAAGTGTTGCATATTAGTTTCTAGCTACAACTTCATCGATAATGTGTGTGTAATATTTTGCAAGGCACACAAACTGTATGTTTGTTCCTTTATGAAAGGAAACGTTTGGGAATGTCTTTGAACTTTTCAGTGGAAAAAGGTTATTTTAGTGTGAAATGTAATTATAGTACTCAAGAGTTAGGAGTTAAGTTTAATGGGTTTTTCTCATACTTAGGGGGAAAAAATCTATGACTATATTTTAAAATCTCACATGATAATTAGATTTGAGAGCCTATAAGTGCTTCACATATAATTTCCAACAGCATATAATAAACACATAACCCAAACCCCAAATGTCCATTATCAGCCAATGTAGTAGAAGATTTCTTACGAAAATTATGGATTCCTCCCATTGATCACCGCCCAGAGAATTAAAAAAAAAAAAAAGCAAACACCAAACCAAAAAACTACTTCAATCTTATTCTAAACTGAAAACTGAGTTCCAAAGATTTTTTTTTTTTTTTTTTCTCACAAGAACAACCAATCCTCAAAGAAATTGAAAGCCATTCAATTTGGTGAATTGCAATCAGTGACCAATAATTACATATTGAATATCCACAGGGTGCCTGGGTATTGAAATGATAAGTGATTTATTTGCATCATTCAAAGGACTTCCAAAGGGGTCTGAAGATATGCAGATGTCTTTAGATATGGTAAGGTGTGTGCTTTTCTAATTAAACTTCCCCTACTCGAATGAATTGAATAATCTGGGTGTCAAGGTTCAGAGACTTCTAAATAGGTTTTGTAAGCGAAGACCCCATTGGGTGCCAGGTGACAAGCGGGATGGTGGTCAGAACTTACTTCCTTAGGGGCTTCGGGACTGGTCAATCCCTTCCTGCTAGTGCAGGGTCGAGGCAGCGAAGGCGTCCCAGACCCGGGTTCCAACCTCCTCTCTCATCCTCCCCTCCCCCACCGCACTCCCACCCCCCGCACCCAGCTCACACTATCTCCCAGTCGCCCAGCCTCGACCGGATCTCGCGAGATCCGGGCAACTGAGCGCTCGGGGCCTTTTCAAATCGGGATCCGTTACCGCTTCCCCGGCCGCCGCCATTGTCGCGTTCGGAGCCCCTCAGCGCAGGCGGCCGAGGCGGAGCCAGCGGCGGCGGGATGGCGGACGCTGACAAGCCCGAGGTGGTCGGGGCCGCTGGCGACGACAGCCCTCATCAGCTCCCCGCAGAGTCTCAGGGTGAACCGCGGCGAGAATCGCTCCCCCCGGAGCCGGAGAAGCAGCCTCCGCAGCACAGCAGTAGCTCCAATGGCGTTAAAATGTATTGTCTTTTCCTCCAGGGGCCGGGGCGAGGTGGGGGGCGGGGAGGCGGCCGGGGGGCCCGGAGCCGAACCGGGCCTGGATGGGGAACACCTGCCCTTCGGCCCGGGTCCGCCCCTCGGCGGTCGGCGGCGCGAGGAGCAGGTGCAGCGGGCCGCTCCTAGGCCCTTCGCTGCCTGCCAGGCCCCGCGGTTCGCGGCCCGGGAGTCGGGTTGGGGGCCGCGGTTCGCTCCCCTGCCGGGTTTGTTTGCCTTGACTTCGCCTGGAAAACCGTTGAGCAAAGCTCGGTGACCGCCATGGGTTTGCAGGAAAATGGTCCCCCTATTAAAGGCCAGTAGTTAGTGTTCATCACTAGGGAGTATCTAGGGATGACATCATCGGACATTTCCTCTTAACCACATACGACAAATTTAAAAGGAATATCTCCTCTCTCCGGCCCCATCCCGAGTTTTTCAAGTGTACTGATTGTCGTTGTTTTCAGAAGTGTATATTCATTTCTGAAATGTTTTGTACCGAGAGTAAGTTTAATAATGTGTAGTTATTGACTCCATTGTGTTAACATGGAGTTGACTCGAGGTGCTGTAAAGGGGGAAATGTGCTTCCCTGCCCACCTGGTGATGTTTGTCAGTTGGGCAGGCTATTTTAAAAAAACTCAGTGTTTGGTGGCCTTAATTTTGGTAAATAAACAATGGTAAAATAAGATTTTTTTTTTAATTGAAGAAAACCCACTACTATAAGGTTGAGTCTATCATTAGTATCTGTAAAGAATTGAGTTGACTCAACTCCACCACAGTTTCAGTTTATAAGAATGATACAGAGGCATGTTATGCTCACCTCTTGTCATGTGGGGTGATATGAAGTCAAGCATTTATTTTCATATTCCTAGCTCTTTAAATCTGAAGTTGTAAGTACGTTAATAATTTAATGAAAACGCCCTTTTCCTTCTCTCAGTTCTGCCTTAGAGTAGAAAGCAGTAAACATAAGCTCATGCTAAAACAGGAAAGGTAAATTCTGACTTTTTTCTTTTGTATGAAAATGTTTGAAACAGTATGATCCTACCTGGACCAATCTGTGTTGGGGTTGATTGCAGATTAGATGGGATAGGTTTCTCCAGCTTCATTATTACAGCCTGGCTCTTAAGTGGGTTTGAATAGGCAGTATCTTCTAGACAGAATAGAGATGGCAGGTGTAAGAGATTGCAACTCTTGAATTTGTTTCTGCAAAGAAAGAGGGCAGGCACCTTGAGATATCAAGAAGTGAGTGAATCTCTTTCTCCATGTCTGCCTAAGTGTGGACTGTCAGGTGCTTGCATTAAAAATAGAATTGAAAAACAATAAACAGTAAACTTAACAAGTTGGCACCCAATATTTTTGGGTTCTGCCTTCATACATTTAACCAATGGTGAATTGAAAATGTTACTCTCCTCCACAGAAATGTTGTATCTGTATTGAACATATAACTTTTCTGGACATTATTCTTTGGACATTATTCCCTGAACAGTATACATCCTATACAACTGTTTACATTATATTAGGTATTTTAAGTAATCTAGAGATGATTTAAAGTATATGGGAGGTTTGTATAACTTACATACAATACAGTGCCATTTTATATAAGAGACTTGAGCAGCTCTGGACTTTTTAATCTCTTGGGGTAGAGTCAGGTCCTAGATCCAGGCCCACTTGGATACTGATGAATGACAGCTTAACATGGGTGTGCCACCCTTTTCTTCTTTAAAAAAAAAAAAAAAAAAAACAAAACCCTTGAATTACAGAGAGTAGCACTAAAAATAGAATTGAAAAAAATCTTACACTTGGGTAAGATTAGTGTAGTGTTGGTACCAGTGAAGCTGACTTCTAAGTCTCCATTAGATAAAGAACTCTAATCCTTTTTAAAGTCTATTGAAGGGTAGGAAAAAAGAGGGGAGAGGTGGGAAAAAGAAGCTTTTTCTAATTTAGGAAGAGAAAAAAAATAAGATAAAGTACAGGAAGTATAGGCCAATTTGTTCTATTTCTTTATTTTGTGGTGTTGGGAATTGAACTCAGAGCTCTCAACATGTTAGACAAGTTCTCTTCTACCAAGCCACATCCCCAACACACTCTAAGGGATTTCTTGCAGTGTCTATTCCATAAGAAGGTATGATGGTCCAGCATGAATCATTCACACTTAACAACCAGAGATCTCAATCTCTGAACCAGTAGGATTTGTTAACAACCCACTACCATGTTTTCAATGATAGAATTTCTTATGTTGTTGATAAAAATGACCAATATTGCCTTATAATATATTTGTTTAGAAATGAGAGTGCTATTTGTCATCAGGATTTAAATGACTTTTGCTTCAGTTAATTCATGGTCATTGAGGGTAGAGACTATGTATTATATACCTATGTACCTCAAAATCTTACATTTGGAAAGTTCCAGTGAATATTTGTTGAAGAAATGCAGAAATGAACCTTTACGATCATGGAACTCATAGAGAGGATTTGAATGGCATGTTTACATCTTTAAAGAAGAATTTGAAGTTATGTTTCCCTAGATTTATTCTTTTCCTTTATGCCAAATGATACAAGCTTTTCTTTTCTTAAAAGTGAATGCAAGGAAAACACTGATATTGTTAACATTGATTGTTATAACTCTTTATTATATATATATTATTAATAAAACCTGGAAGTATATGGAGATTTGAGAGTTACATTAAAGAACTTATAAAATATTAGGCATTAGGGCAAAGTGAAGTGTTTGCCAGTAGAATAACAATTTTTATCATATTAGGATTAAAGATTAGAACTGGGATTAGTTTTTTCTACCTTTATTTAAATATAATTGAAAAAATAAAAATTGTATTTAATGATGTTTTGATATACTATGAATACATTGTAAAATGGTTACCACAAATTAACATATCCATTACCTCATAGTTAGCATTGTGTGTGTGTGTGGGGGGGGGAGTAAGAACACTTATAATCTACTCAGCAAATTTCAAGTGTATAGCAAATATATTATTATTAGCTATTATCACTCTATACTAGGTCTCCAGAATTTATCTATTTATCTTATAACTGAAAGTTTGTATCCTTAGACCAACATGTCTTATTTTCACCCATCCCCTGATGTCTGGAAACCATCCCTTTACTCTCTATTTCTATGAGTTAAGATTTTTAGATTGCACATATAAGTGATGGTCATGCAGTATTTGTCTTTCTGTGTCTGGCTTAATATCATTTAGCATAATGTCCTCCAGGACATAATATTCATCTAGGTTGTTGCCAGTGACAAAATTTTCTTTTTAAAGCCTGAATAATTCATTTGTGTGTGTATATGTGTGTGTTTACACACATATTCTTTAGCCATTCATTCATTAGAAACACAACACTTTGGGCTGGGGATGTGGCTCAAGTGGTAGCGCACTCGCCTGGCATGCGTGTGGCCCGGGTTCGATCCTCAGCACCGCATACAAACAAGGATGTTGTGTCCGCCGATAACTAAAAAATAGATATTGAAATTATCTCTCTCTTTGTCTCTCCCTCTCTTAAAAAAAAAAAAAAAAAAAAAAAAAAAGAAAGAAACACAACACTTAGGTTGTTTCCAAATCTGGCTATTGTGAAATAGTGTAGTGAGCATGAAAGTGCAGATAACTCTTCAAGACAGTGTTTTTTTTTTTTTTTTTTCTGTGTATGGGGTTACTGGGTATTGAACTTAGGGGGACACAACCACTGTGCTACATCCCCAGCCCTATTTTGTATTTTATGTAGAGACAGGGTCTTACTGAGTTGCTTAGCGCCTTGCTGTTGCTAAGACTGGCTTTGAACTCTTGTTTCAGCCTCCTGAGCCTCTGGGATTACAGGTGGGTGCCATCTAAGGCTAAGACAGTGATTTTTATTTTCTTTGGATAAATACTCTGACATGTATGTAATTGCTAGGTCATCTGATAGTTTTATTGCTTACTTTCTGAGAAACTTTCATACCGTTTTTTCCATAATGATTGTACCAGTACACATTCCCACCAGTAGTGTATAACTTTCTCTCTTCCCATCCTTGCCAGTATGCATCATCTTTTGACATCTTGATAATAGTCTTCCTAACAGGTTATGTGATGCCTCATTGTGGTTTTGAATTGTATTCCCCTGATCATTAGTGTTGTTGAGCACCTTTTCATATACCTTTTAGCCATTTGCATGTCATCTTTGGAAGATTAATCTGTTTAGGTTCTTTATCCACTTTTTAATTAGGTTGTTTTTTGATGTTTATTTTTTGCTATTGAGTTGTATGAGCTCCTTATATTTTTGATACTGCTCTTTAATAAATGGTTTGTGAATACCTTCTCCCATTCAGTAGATTGCCTTTTTGTTTTGTTGATTGTTTCCTTTGCTGGTCAGAAACTTTTTTGTTTGATGTAGTCCACTTGTTTATTTTTGCCTTTATTGCCTGGACTTTTGGTGTCATACCCAGAAAAGTCATTGTTAAGGCCAGTGTTATGGAGTGTTTTTCCCCTCTGTATTTTCTTGAGTTACATGGTTTCAGCTGTTATGTTTAAGTTTTCAATCTAGTTGGTTTGATGATTTTCATGTATGTTGTAAGATAAGGATTCAGTTCCATTTTATTGAATATGGATATCCTCTTTTTCAGCACTATTTATCGAAGAGACTCTCTTTTCCTCAGTGTCAAGTATTAGTTGACTGTATGTTTGCATGTATTTCTGAGCGTTCTATAATCTTCCATTGATTTGTATGTATGTTTTTATGTCAGTATCTTATTGTTTTGATTACTCTGGCTTCATAATATAATTTAAATTAGGAAGTGTGATGTCTCCAGCTTTGTTGTTGTTCAAGATTGCTTTAGCTACTTAGGATCTTTTGTAGTTCCATATACATTTGAGATTTTTTTTCTGTTTCGGTGAAAAATAGCATTGGAATTTTAATAGGATTGCATTGAATTGATAGGTCATTTTGGATAATATGGACATTTATAACATCAGTTCTTCTGGTCCATGAACACAGAGTATCTAACCATTTATTGGTGTTGTCTTCAGTTTCTTTCATCATTGTTTTATAGTTTTCAGTGTGTTTCATTGCCTTGTTTAAATTTATTCCTAGGTGGTTTTTTGTTTTTGTTTTTCAGTGCCATTATAAATGGGATGTGCTGTTAATTTTTTGATAGTTTATTGTTGATGTATAGAGAGGCACATTCATTTTGGTATGTCGGTCTTGTACCCTATAATTTTACTGAATTACTTTTGGTGGACTCCTATTAATACATATTAATTGTACAAGTTAATTGGTTTCACTGTGACATTTCCATACATGAATGCATCATGCATTCATATGTCCACCCTCCCTTTTCCCCTGATTCCCTAACTGGTCCCTTTCCCATTGCCTAATAGTTTCTCTTCTACTTCTAGCATCTTTTTTCTTTTTTCGAGGGCCACTGGGGACTGAACTCAGGGGCACACAACCACTGAGCCACATTCCCAGCCCTATTTTGTTATTTTATGTAGAGACAGGGTTTCACTGAGTTGCTTAGCACCTCGCTGTTGCTGAGGCTGGCTTTGAACTCGGAATCTTCCTGTCTCAGCCACCTGATCACTGGGATTACGGGTGTGCCCCACTATGCCTAGCTCTTTTTTCTTTCTTTTTGGTGGACTCTATAATGGTTTTCTGTATATAAGATCACATTATTAGCAAACAGATAATTTTGGTTTTTACTTTCCAATTTGGATGCCTTTTGTTTTTCTTGCCTAATTGCTCTGGCCAGGACTTTTAATAATAAAAAGTTGAATAGTAGTGGTGAGAGCAGGCATCTTTTTCCTATTCCTGGTTTTAGAGGAAAGTTTGAAATTTGTAAAGTTCTTTTCCCAGATCTATTGAGGTGATCATTTGTTTTTTTTTACCTTCACTTTGTTAATGTGTTATATCATGCTTACTGATTTGCATATGTTTATCCAGCCTTACATCCTTCTAATGTGCTGTTGAATTCAGTTTGCTAGCATTTTGTTCAGGATTTTTGCACCTGTGTTCATCAGGGATATTGGCCTATAATTCTCTTTGTCTGACTTTGGTATCAGAGTAATGTTGGCCTTATAAAATGATTTGAAAGAGTTCTCTCATTCTGGTTTTTTGAAATAGTTTTTTTTAGTGTTTGGTAGAATTTTCCCATGAAGCTCTCAGGTCCTAGACTTTTCACTGATGGGAGATTTTGAGTACAGATTCAGTCTCCTAGTCTTCCTTCTTTTTATTGGTGGGTTGGGATGTCTGTTTCTTTAAGATTTGTTTTTGGTAAGTTGTCTGTTTCTAGGAATTTATTCATTCTAGATTTGCTCGTGTATAATTGGTCATAATAGGTTTGTATTGTCCTTTGTAGTTCTATGTGGTCAGTTGTAATTTCTCTTCTGTTTGATGTTGATTCTTCTCTTTTTTCCTTAGTGTCTGACTTAATATTTGTCAATTTGTCTTTTTTTAAAAAATAACTTTTAGTTTTGTTGATCTTCTATTTTTCTAGTATATTTATTTATGCTTTGATGTTTGTTATTTCCTTCCTTTTATTAACTCTGTGGTTAGTTAATTTTTAATTCCTTAAGGTGTGAAGTTAGATTGTTTTGAGATCTTTCATTTTTTCTGTGTATAGGCTTTTATCACTATGAATTTCCCTCTGGTGTTTGTCCTAGAACTGGGATTAATTCTGGATCTCATTATAGCATTATGCTTTTAAAATCACATATTAATACTATGTTTCTTCATTCAGTGTTAGATATTAATTTTTTTCAGAAATTTGTTATTTGGGAAGGAATAATTTAGTCTTAAGAGCAGATAAATTTTTGTTTATTCTGGAGTCTTTTAATTATATTAAGAAGGAGGGGCTTGCAAAAGTGAATAGCTTGAGAATTAGAACATGGAATTCTGGAAATATTCTGGTAGCATCATTTTACTTTTTTTTTTTTTTAACTGTCTTTCTATAGTGTATTTATGGCATAAAATTCAGGACTGATATAATTATGACTTAATTTCTTAATCAAATTGTCCCTCTAGCCCCTAAACTAGTATGCCTTCCATAGATAATTTATGTGTTGCAGATGAACAGCTTAGTGGTATTTTAAAGATGCTACAAATTGGGGGAAAATTACCGAAATTGCTCTCTTTGGCCATCCTTTAAGTAAATATTTTAAAGAAGAGATATAATATTACTACTTTTAAAATGGAATTGTTAGATTATTGTAAGCAAATGTTTACCACATTCATTAACCTCCACCTAGAACAGAACATTATATACCAGAACTTCATGCATTTTCACAATTGATTTCCTTCAGGAAGAAAATAGGGGGAGGGATATTTATCTAGAGATTTTATGGATAGCTGCTCTCCTGAACAGAAATTTAATTATTTTAAAAACATACATTGAATTCAGCCTAAGCCTGTTGTGTAATTGGTCCTTTGGGGGATTAAAATGAAGGGGTTGTTGTTTCTTCTGTACCCAGGAACCAGAGAAAAGACTTTTAACCTCTCACTACCATTTTCAGAATGCCACTGTGTTCTGACAGGGAGGTACTTTTCTGAAGTTGAACAGTTAAGAAGACCTTCTAAGTATTGCCATTGCTTGCTCTTCCCCCAGCCCCATTTTTACTGGCAAATTATAGTTGTACATAATGGTGGTATTTATTGTTATAAATTTGTACACACATACAATTATATTATAATTCAGCCAATATTATTTCCCAGTTATTCCCTCCCCACCTTTCTTTTTCTTATTCTTCTCTGTCTTCTACATATGAGAGAAAAGATATGTAGGTCATGCTATTTCTGATGAGGGAATATGTTTGACAGTGAAGATATCCCTATCAAGGTCTGAAAAGGTGTCAAAATATGTTTGGTACTAATGTGTCTTTTTGATTTTAGCAACTTTTCTGGTAGACCATTTGTGGTGGATTTTTTTTCCAGTACTGGGGGATTGAACCCAGAGGTGCTTTACTACTGAGGTACACTCCTGGCTCTTTTTTTCCTCCCCATTTTGAGACAGGGTCTCACTAATTGGTGAGGCTGGCCTCAAACTTGCCATCCTTCTTTCTCAGTCTCCTGAGTTGCTGGGATTACAGGTGTGCTCCCTCATACTGGTTCCTGGAAATTTTTATTAGTATGTTTATAAAAAGTGCTTTAAAATTGATGTTTTGTTAATTAAATAATTTTAAATTCATCAGAGTAATGCCTTAAAAGAAATTTATTATAACTTCTGTAAAAAAGATCCTTTTGAAAAGTAAATTGCATTTTAAAATATAAATCCAGATTTATATCTATAGGGTTTGTCTTAAGTATATACCATATCTTAAGTTTGATATGTAGCATCATAATAGTTGCATTGTGATTATAATCTCATAAATGAAATGCTTTTCCAGTTAGGCCTCATGAAAAAGATTTATCAGTCTCGCTCATTTTGCATTCAGTGACTGCCTCTTTCCTCTACCCTATGCCCTCATCGTAGGTAATCTTACTAATAAAAAAAAATAATTCTATGAAGTGCCTATTCTATTTTATTGTTTAAAACCCAGAAAAATTTTTAACATGAAGATATTAGGATACTTTATAAATTCTGCTTATCAGAGTTGGGAATAGAAAAATTTTGAATCTAAGTGAATGTATAATATGTATATATGTAGATATATAGCATAGCTATACATTTAGAGGAAGGTGAAATGGGAAGAAATTGTTAACCTTTAAGAGGTAAACTTTTCCAGTATCAATTTTAGAGTTTTTAACGAAGCCAGAAAGTTAATTTTTTATTAAAAGTGGCAGTTTTATATACTGTAGAATCACCCCCCCCCACAGTGTCCAATAACACTTTATTAAGTATAAGTACATGGAGGGGAAAATTGAGTGATTTGAATGATTGTAGCTATTTACTGTGTGTGGGGGGGAGTGATCATTGTTGCCCTCATGCCAAATCCTTGCTTTGAAAAGTCTTGGGTAATATCAAAGCTGTCAGGCTCACTTTCTAGTTGCTTTGCTAAAGTCTAGCTTAGTGGAAAGTTTTATGAAGTGATAAATATGAATTATTTAATATAGACTTCCATTCTTAGAAGCACAAATGAGGGTGTTTTTTGTTTTGTTTTGTTTTGTTTTTAAAATTCTTAGGGAGAATGATGAATCAGTGAAAGAAGAAAAATCTGACTTAAAAGAAAAATCTTCAGGAAATAAGAAGGCCAATAGATTTCATCCTTATTCAAAAGACAAGAATTTGGGCACTGGAGAAAAGAAGGGTCCAAATCGTAACAGAGTTTTCATTAGCAACATCCCGTATGACATGAAATGGCAAGCTATTAAAGATCTAATGAGAGAAAAAGGTAATTATCTCTGAAATAACCCACTGCTGGATGATCTTCATGTAGGAAGGGGAAGAAACTATGCAAAACTTTTTTATTCCTCTTAGCCACACAGACTCAAAAAAATTGATTTTTATTTCTTGATGTATGAATTAATCTTTTCCTCTTCTTTCACTTGACACAATTTCATTACACACTAGTATGGATAAAAGTATTTTTTTTTTTTTTTTTTTGATATTTTAGTGGGATAGTAGTGAGCCAGCATTTGCATGCCACCAAGAATTTTGTTAAAGCGATTGCTTTGTCTAGTTGAAGTTTTTATAGATTTTTAAAGGATTATTGCATTAGTTAAGTAATACATTTAGAGTGTTAATGTATGAATAATAAGGTCTGATTATTTTTTTTCCAAAAGCTGTTTTGTTATTATCTTGATGGAGTCTGGAATCTGGCTGTGGAATTCATTTTGTTTGCATTGTCACGACTGCCATGATGCTGTCTTTGCAGTTCTATATTAAAATTGCGTTACTGCTGTTGCAGTTTTGTTTTCAGAATAATCTGAAAACCTTCATCTTATATACATGGTTGGTTTTGGGGAAAAATAACTTTAATACTTGATCTTGTAAAAGATAGTTCTGTTATCTCTTGAAAAATTGAGTTTCAACAGTCCTGCAAATTATGTACTTGGCTTTGAGGCTGATCTCTTCTAATAAATTAAAAAAAAATTGCATTGGTGTATTATCTGTTGTAAGGTGACAACTATTTGATTGGTTTTATTCATTGACTTTATTTAGAAAGTGTGTGGCTTGCTGTGAAGCATGACTTGTAAATTTAGTTTACTGATGGCAAACATGATTGAAGACATTCAGGTAGAAAGTCACCTTAAAACAGCTGTTGTGTGTAGGCTGATCAAAGTTATTTGAAAAGTGCCAATGTTGATGTTTTTTTTTTAATATGATAGGCTAAGGGGCCATTTGTATGTATATGTGCATTTGTTCACCAACTATATCATGCTGGCCAAAATATGATCTGTAGTATGAATTAGGTTAATATGGTTGTTAGCTTTTTTTAGAGAATGTGGATGATGTACATTTCTGAAAATCAGTCAAATTTACATAGCCATTTGAGGAGGTATGTTGGTCTGGTTTTGATTGTTGGTGAATAATAGGTGCTTTTCTGTAGAGTTGTGCACAGGTGTGCAGTAAAGCAAGATATTGGTGTTTAAATGTATTGTTTCTTGGTATCTTCCTTTTGTATGTCTTATGTAGTTGGTGAGGTTACATACGTGGAGCTCTTTAAGGATGCGGAAGGAAAATCAAGGGTAAGTGCTGTGGGCAATATCTGCTTGAGGTGTAAAAGTTCCTCAGCAGTTTACTTTTTGTATAATACTTGTACCAGTTTTTGGAAACTTAAGTTTCATTTTGTTTTACTTTATTATGCAAGATTTGAGGCTTTATACTAGCAAGTTTGACACCTGTACCAACCAAACTAGCTGCCTGGAAGGGATGGGTTTTGTAAATGCTCATAAAGGGCATTCACTTTTCTAATGCTCTTAAGGTAATGCTTCTTCCTAGCCAGTAAGATTTTAATATAGGATTTTTTTTTGTTGTATTTTGATGTCTTCAAGGATCTTTTAAAACTCACTGAATTGATAATATTCCTTAAGAGATTATGAGAGACCTATAGCTAAAAGGTGTTAATTCAGAATGTATTTTTGAAACTTATTGAAAAGCTTAACTTGGTAGCCTGCAGGACTACATAAGAGGCAGTGTTCTGCCAATCAGTATGAATGCTGTTGATGATTAAATTGATAGAGAAGGATTTGGTTGATAGTAGATTTTGATTTTTAGCAACAAGAGTGCAATGTATAGAAGAATACAGTGAAAAGCCCTTAACAATGTTTAACTATATTAGCATAAACCAGTTTGAATACATGAGAAATAAAAACTTTGTCATTACAATCAAATGGAATTTTTTGAACAGTAATGACAAGGAATTGTTTTTAAAAAAATGATTCTCTTCAGCATAGGTGATTTTTAAAAAAATATTTATAACTGGTTACTATTGTGTACAGCCAGTTTTAATCTAATGGAGAACTTTACTAAAATTATTATTTATTTGCGATTTTGATGTGATTAGATTTGAAAAATATATTATGCCCAGTGTTTCTATTGAAAATATTTGTGACTATGTCAGGTCATATACATGGGAAACTGGAGTTCCTTGAATTACTGTTGATTAATTTGTACAGAAATACTAGTTTTAACTTTTAAGAAAAGTCCTCTGAAAGTAAAAATGTACTCCAAGTTTTTACATGTATTCTGTTGTTTCAATAGTTAGACTTAAAAATTTACAGAAAATTTATGATCACTTGCCTGGTGGTTAAAAAGATGAAAAGTGATTGTATTATTGATTATTTTTGGTAACTTAAATGTTAGAATCTGCCATTAACTTCATCTACTGATTGAAAACTTTTTTTCTTTTGCATATATTGACAAATCTACCTGGATATAGGGTTGTGGGTAAGAATTTTTTTTTTTTTAAAGTATCTTAAGTCAAATTAAACTTCTGATTGGAAGCAAATCTTAGTACATAAACATTTCTTATAATTTTTTTCTCCATTAAGTGTTGTTGAATTCAAAGATGAAGAATTTGTAAAGAAAGCACTAGAAACTATGAACAAATATGATCTTAGTGGAAGACCCCTTAATATTAAAGAGGTAAGATTTCTTATATTTGAAATTTAAACATTTGACTATAGGATCATGCTTTCTTTGAATTTTCATTTTTGATAATGTATTTGTAATGTAAGCATAGATGCTTATTAAAGCATTATCTGTTAATAGTAGTCTTACTTGTATATGACTTCTTTTTGCCCTTAAGTAGGTACCTGTATTTGATTTATTCCAAGTTGTTACAGAGGTGCATAATTTTAGAAGAATTAAGAACTCAGAAATTTAAGCATGATAGACTTTAGTTGCTGACTTTAATTGATTTAGATATTTTCAGTTTTTAGATTCTGTTGTTTGAGAAATAGAATAGATATTTTTGTAGTTGACAGTGAAATCTTGCTTAATAATGCATACATTATGGATTTGAATAAAATTGTTATTCACTCTTTAGAATGTTTTTATTAGTGCATTATAGATATACATAATAGTGAGAGTCATTTGACATAATCACATATATGTGCAGTGTAATTTGCTCCATTTTGGTTTCCAAACACTCCTTCCTCTACTCCACTGGCCTTCCCCACATCTATTTATTGTTTTTATAAATTAGTACTTTATAGATATATGTAAAGGTGAAATTCATTGTGTTACATTCACACATGTGCACAGCATAATTTGGTCAACCTTATTGTGCTGTTCTTTTTTTTTTTGGTAACAGGGATTGAGCTCGGGGGTTAACGACCACTGAGCCATATCCCAAGCCCTATTTTGTATTTTATTTAGAGTCAGGGTTTCACTGAGTTGCTTAGGGCCTCACTAAGTTGCTGAGGTTGGCTTTGAACTCAAAATCCTTCTGCCTCAGCCTCCCTAGCCACTGGGATTACAGGTGCGCCATGGTTCCAGCATGGTATTCATTTTAATAAAGTTATTTAGAGATTAAAATTCAAGAGGAGTTATAATTCTATTATTGAAACCTGAACTAGAACCCTAAAGTGGAAGTGTTCTTTTTTATAGAATTTAGCAGTATAAGTTGAGGAAAGAGTAAGCAAAAGATACATTAAAAAACTACTTAGTTAGATGTAAGTGACCTTGAGAATAATTAGCTCCAACAATTAATATATGTAAACTATTTAATTAATATTAGCTATTTCTTATACTTGTGATACTATTATATAAAGCCCTTAATGCAGTGTTCAGAATACTTAACTATCTCATATATATTAGCTGTAAAAATAATGATTGTTATTAGTCCCGTCCAAGACTCATTGTTCTCTCTCTCTCTCTCTCTTTTTTTTTTCTTTCTGTTTTTGGTTTCCTGTTCTTGAGTTTGATCATAGATTGAAATTAAAGGCCATGCTATCAACTATATGTGTATCTCATGTCCCTTTATTGAAATTAGCTTCAATATTCTGAAATTGTTTAAGCCTAAGGGTTATTATTTAAATTTTTTTTTTTTTTGACAGGGATGTGGACAATTGATAGTGAAGGTTTAGATTTTGTAGTTTGTGCCAGCCATTTATTTGGTGGCTCTTTTGCATAAGTCAGTCTCAGTGCTTCAGAATTGTTAGCATCCTAAATAATTTTCCTCAATTTGGTGTTTGATTTTTCACTATCTCCTCTGGAGACAAATAATGGAATCTCAGTGTCTTCTGCTTTTAATTGAAAAAAAAAAAAAAAAAGAGTATTTTGCATGCTAACGTGAGACCATATTATTGTGTTCTTATAAATTTTAGCATATTGTAGATCCTCTATATTTCAGATCCCAAAATAGAATTATATGGTCCAAGTTGATGTAGAATGCCTTTATTTTTAACTATTTTTCAGAGGAAAAAATGGTCAAATTTGGCCTCACTAAGTGATGGGGGATTTATTTAATTAAATTTTTTTGGATTAAAATCACTAAAGGCAGTCCCTTTTTTGGGAATATCTAATTTACCATGGGTGGTTGGGGTAAGTGATTAGAATTACTACTGGAATGGAAGTCCAAGAAAAGTATATATCCATGCTCCTTAAAAAAATCTAAAAATTACTTTTTTCCATTTAATTAAATAGAGATTAGTTGCAGTTGTAAATGTATTTATAGACCCTCTATTAGGTAGACAATAGCAATTAGTGATCGGCAGGAGGACAACAAGAGGAAAAGAGGAATAAAAACCAAGTTATAAATAGTAGGTGATTTGTTTTATATATACACCTGTATATAAAAGACAAAATATAGCCATATGTTTTATTAATGTTAAGCCCAAGCAACCTAACTGTAATAGTTCAAGAAGCATCTTCCTTCCTGTTTTTTTTATCCCATATAGATAACCACTATTTTAAGTTTTGTTTTTGTGTATATTTTTGCATCTTCAAACCTGAAACATTTTCTAACTTAAATTTTATTAGCATTGTTTGATAACATGTCTTTACTTTTGTAATCTTTTTTTATTTTTTAGTAGTGAAGTAGTTTATTGTAAGCCAGAAAAATTTTATTCTTGCATTTACTTTCTGGCCATCTTAGGGAATTTGTTAAAGTCATCCAACTTTGTTTTTATTAATATTTTCAGAGTGAGGCCAGCAGAGTAGAATTGATGGTCGTTTAACATAATTATTTGTCATTGCAGATGGTTATCTATCAGTGTGTTCATGTGTTTTTTTTTTTTTGTTGTTGTTGTTGTTTGTTTGGGGTATGTATTGTTTGTATCCTACCTAGAGGGATGAGTGAGAAGTATTTTTAAACTTCTTGTTTTGTTTTACAATGGGATATTACTCTTATAAAATTAATGAATTTAAAGAAAAGTTTTCTATCATTCTTCACTGGACACTAGCCTTCTTTTACTTCTCCCTTGCTCCAGTCTCAGATCATAATCGTCGTTGAGGAAGATAAGAGGTTAGAAGGTGGATACTTGTATTTTGTTCAGTAATGAAATTTGCCAGTTATAATACCCTCCCACCCTGAGTTTTGTTCTGTTACACTACTGAAAGTCTTGTTTTGTAAGTCTATTCCACTACTGAAAGTTTTGGATTGTCAATTTGACATTCCATTGGTCATCCAGTGGTGAGACTTCACCATGATTGCATTTTGGAAAGAAAAGAATCATAGTAAGTATTTTGCTTCTCTTTGAATTATGTGCATTTATGTGTATGATGTGTATATGTCATACTTGTACTCTAGAATGAGGACAAAATTAAACTAATTTCAAGTTCTTAAGTGACTTTAGTGCTTGGAAAGAGGTATTTAATTGCCATTCCTGGAGACTGAAATCTTTTGTCTGTCCACAGGTTTTTATGGGACTCAGTTCTCTGGATGAGAAAACAAAACAAAAATCTCACTTCTCAAGAGGGTCAATAATATGAGGGTTAGCTAATGTCAAATTTGAAGTTGTTATTTTAATTCTGTAGATTTACTGATATATTTAGTGGCATTTAACATTCAATGTGTGTTATAGGATCCTGACGGAGAAAATGCTCGTAGGGCATTGCAACGAACAGGAGGATCATTTCCAGGAGGACATGTCCCTGATATGGGATCGGGGTTGATGAATTTACCACCTTCCATTCTCAATAATCCAAACATTCCTCCTGAGGTTATCAGTAATTTGCAGGCTGGTAGACTTGGTTCTACAATTTTTGTTGCTAATGTAAGTTTTAGTCTAAAATTTTATTGTTCAGATGCATAGTTCCATTTATGAGATTGTTTAATTAGATGAGTGGTTTATAGAACATTTTGCTTATTTTTAACTAAAGTAAATGAAGTTAATTATTTTAAGCTCAAATCCAATTTAAGTCTACATGTGTGTGATTAGTCTAAATACAATTTAGAATTTTTTACACAGAGAACTGTGGAATTTATAATCATTTGAGCATTTCTTGAAATTATGTACTTTAATTATATGCCTTTTTATTCATATTGGTAAATGGATTTCATTCTTGTGGCCTTGATATTTGTGAATGTGCATGTCGCAGTTGGTTTATTTGTTCTAAGCTCTTGAAAGTCAGTGACATGGACAATAATTCCCAAATCTGAATTTCTCTTGGTAAAAGTAGATGTGCAAGTTTCATATGTAGAAAGCAGGATTGAGCAGTTGAGAGACAATTTTGGGAATTAAAATAATAAGAATATGGAATAATGTAGATGTGACTGAACTGATTTTTAAGCAACTCGTGTTTTATTTGAACATCATTGGTCTACTATTGAATGTGAATTATAGTTATTTATAGTTTGGGAGAGTTTAGAAAAGATTATTTTGTATATATAAATGGGGAAAGAGATTTATTAGGTGTGTAACTTTATACAATTTTATGTTAAGCTTGACTTCAAAGTTGGTTGGAAGAAGCTAAAGGAAGTGTTCAGCATAGCTGGAACTGTAAAGCGGGCAGATATTAAAGAAGACAAAGATGGAAAGAGCAGAGGAATGGGCACTGTCACTTTTGAGCAAGCAATTGAAGCAGTTCAAGCAATTTGTATCCTGATTTACACTTAGCATTGTTTAAAGAAGTTGGAGAAGCTTGATACCGTTTTGTGGGGGTTATGGAATTTAAGGTTGTTTAGCTTAGAAATTTGTTAGACTTTAGTCTCCAGCTCATAAAATATTTAGTATGTCCAACTACTAAAGTCACTCTTAAAACTTGAATTAGCCATATTGTACAGGACTGGTGTGAACTTTTTTCTGCTTTCCCTTCCTACCAACTAATTGTATGTATATACACATGCTTTTGACAGTTATGTACTACATTGTACATTAATGAAGTTGATTTAGATGAAGCCTTATTTTCTTTTTCAGTTAAAAGAATATATTATTTATAAAAATAAAAGAATTAGAGTTTTCTTTGTGTGGAAGAGACTACTATGAATAAATATTAAAGACATTAAAACGTTAGAGCTAGTTGGAGACTCCTTTAATAATATAATTAGTTTGTGTTCAAGAATAATTTTACAGTCATCTGTCTTTCCTTGACTGAACCAACAGCTATGTTCAATGGGCAGTTTTTATTTGATAGACCTATGCATGTGAAAATGGTGAGTTCTTATATATCACTTTAAACCTTCAACATTTTAAAATCTTTTATCTGCTATCCTCAACATTACAGTCCTTATTTTGTAATATATTAATCATATAATAAACTTTTTTGCAATTAGGATGACAAGTCTGTCCCTCATGAAGACTACCGTTCACATGATAGTAAAACACCACAATTACCACGTAAGTAAAAGGAATTATTTAGAGACAACACACTCCATTGTTTTTCAGTTTTATTATGTACTAAGCAAAACTTGGTTTTGGGGCCTACATCCATATTGTTCCCTTGGGATTAGTTTAGAGTTTTAGAGATTAGTTTGGTGAAATTGATTAGGAGGACAGAATATAATGTTATGGTCCTTTTTTTTTTTTTTTTTCTTATTTGGTTGTGTTTCCTGACTATATAAGCAGTGCATATTAAAATATTTATTAAGTTTATACATGTGAAGGAAAAAAACTCTTCTGTAATATTACCATGTTAACTCAGCCACAAAAATATTACCTTTTTAAAATATTTTGTTCCACTCTTTCCTTCTTGTGTATATTTTTTTATATAGTCAAATTACTGTATAATTTTTTTTGTTGTTTAACAATAAGGTATAAGCATTTTTTTCATGAAAATTCTTCCCAAATGTTTTTATTGACTGTTAATCTGTTATATAGATTCTCTATAACTGCTTTACTGTTATATATTTTGTCTGCTTTGGCTTTTATTTCTCTTAATAACTAACAGAGTAACATGTGCCTTTTTGTATACAGATCTTTGATATGCTTTTGGTTACTTCCTTAAGATAGGTATCTTTTAAGTAGATTTATAGGTGTTTAGTTCAAGACATGCCCATCGATTACTGTTATCCAGTTGTTTTCCAAAGGATTATAAAACAATAGTGTAATGTACTTAACATCTTGTGTCTTAATGCCCTACTTGAACAATGGGGATATTAATGCTGTAGTACTTTCTTCAGGGGGTAGCATAAATAGCATGTGAGTTAATATGTGTAAAGCACTTAGAATAGTTTTGACACAAGGCAAGTACTCAATAAATACTAACTATTGTTCTTATTTTTCACTACACCTTCTATGGTTATTTTTAAAGTTTTTAATATAAAATATTTACAATAAAATTATTCTTGTGACTGTTAGATGCTTTGTGTGTGTGTGGTATTAGGGATTGTATCCAGGGCATCGCACATACTAAGCAAGTGCTCTACCACTGAATAACACCCATAGCCCTTGATTTTTTTTTTAAACTAAATAAAATTTTTTAAAGCTTAGAATCTCCCTCCTCCCTAACTTCCTTCCAACATACATCTTGCCCAAAGGAAATAACTTAGGAATGCCATGATTATCATTTAGATTTTAATAATTTGTCTACACATTTATACATTCATAATGCATAGAATTGTTTTGTTGGATTTAAAATTTAGTGTGATTTTTGGTGCTATTGATACGGAAGACTTAAGATAAAATATATTGTTTCTTTTTGGTAGTTTTATCAGCTGTATATATTATTAAACCTGTGTTTTTTTTTTGTTTGAAATTGTTTTTGAGATTTTATTGATAGATATAGCTCTAGAGTCTTCACTTTAATTGCTAATACTGCATTTTATACATTTTTCTGCTTTTTAGATTATTCTAATTTTTAATGATTAGAAATAACAGAGTTGGGGAGTGCTTGCTTTTTTTTTCCTGGTAGATTTACCTGTTCTTAGTATTTGCTAAAAATTATGAGTAAAACTTTCTGGCCTTCATATATGTTTGGGGGAAGATTTTTTAACTACAGGTCATATTTTCTGTTTCTTCTTAAGTCAGTTTTGGTAATTTCTATTTTTCTTGGGATTTTTTTTTCCATTTTAAAGTTTATTGATCTAAAATTGCCTCTTAAAAGTTTTGCTATATCCATAGTTCTGGGTCCTTTTGAATTCTGAAGATTTATAATTTCTCTTTTTCTGTGTCAGTTTTACTAGAAATTTGTCATTTTTAGTTAGTATTTTTAAAAAGCAAAGTTTTTAGTATGTTTAATTTTTCGTTTTAGCTTTATTGTTTCCTTTCTTATAATTTTTAGGGGTTTATTCTTTTATCCTAACTAATTAAGTTGAAGGCTTGATTCAGTAATTTCTAGCCTCTCTTTTCTAATATAAGTAGTTAGAATTATAAATTTAGTTATTGTACCAGTTCTGCTGTGGACTATTTTTATAATAGTTCAATTTTTAAAGTATTTAAAAATTAGCACTATGACTTTTGTGGGAGAGGGGTGCCAAAGATCGAACTCAGGGGCACTCAACCACTGAGCCACCTCCTCAGCCCTATTTTGTATTTTATTTAGAGACAGGGTGTCACTGAGTTGCTTAGCACCTTGGTTTGCTGAGGCTAGCTTTGAACTCACGATTTTCCTGTCTCAGCCTCCAACTGCTGAGATTACAGGCGTTTGCCACCATGTCCAGTGCACTGTGACTTCTTGAGTCATTTGAAAATAAGATTTTTGAATTTCCGAATGCATGAGTTCTTTTTTTAAAAAATCTTATTAATTTATAACCTCAGTGTGGTGAGAGAGCATGGTCTATATGATTGTGATTCTTTGAAATTAATTTGGACTTACATTATGAATGGCCTATCATGTGGCACATTTTTATAAATATTCCAGGTGTGATTGGTAAGTACAGTGTTCTGTGTCCATTAAGTCAAGTTTGTTAATTTAATTGTTTCAAGTCCTTACGGGTAATATTGTCTGCTTGTGCTAGCAATTACTGAAAGATGTTTGTCATAAAATTCTCTCATTAGGATGACAGTTGTCTTTTTTTTTTTTTTTTTTTTAATGTTTTGAAGCTAATTTAGTAGGTCCTTCCAAGATTAGAACTGATAATATTTTCTTAGTGAATTAATTTATCATTATAGCAATTTTTATCTTTAGTAATTACCTTTAAGTCCTCTAAGGTAAGTACAACAATTTTGTTTCGTATTTGTTATCTTTTTCTTGCTCTTTTATTATTTACTGTGTTAGATATACCCTTTATAAGCAGTATTATATTTAGGATTTGATTTTTAAAAATATTATTTTGAAAGTCTGTTCTATGAAATTGAATAGTTTAAATTATTCACATTTATTGGTTCATTTGGATTAATTTTCATTATCTTATTTTGTGTTCTGTTTTACAAATAAGTAATTTTTCTCCTATTTTTTTAAAGTAGTTATTCTAGATATTTTAATGTGTCTATATAAAGCTGAAATTAGTTTAACTATTCTCTAAGTTGTGGAATAACCTTAGAGTACTTTGTACTTGTAATCACTTTTTATATGCTATTGTTGCTCAGTATTTTCATTATATTTCTTTTTTTTCCCCCTTAATCCAACAAATTAGACATTTTTCCCCCTATTTTCTTGTCTCATCATTGCTCTGTTTTCACAGACCCTGGTACTAACTTTTTCCCTTTGAAGTGTATATTTTACAAGATCTTTCAGAGAGGATCAGTTGTTATTAAGTTCTCTCAATTTTGATTTGCCTGTAAATGTCTTCCAAGATAGTTTAAGATTGATAGTTATTTTCCCTTAGCACTTTAAAAAATTTTCCAGTCTTCTGGTTTCCATTGCTACTCTTAAGTTAGCTGTCTGTTGAATTATCTTTTCTTTTTGGGTGATGTATGCTCTTCATGGAGATGATTTTTAAGATCTTGGTTTTCAGTTGGCAGTTTTACGACATTGTGGGTCTGGATTAAGATTTGTTGGGCTTTCCCAATCACAGCATCAAGTTTTTATAAAGTAAATTCTGGACAATTCTCAGCCACGTGTCTTTTGAGTATTACCCTTTCTTTATCCCTTTATACGGCAGTCCTTCCCCCAAGTTTACCTAGTCAGTCAGGTGTCATCTTTTAAGATCCTTGTTTTGTGTAAGGGCTTCCAATTCACTTCTCCATTTTTGGTATTCTTCTATTTGTTTAGATCAAAAATGTCCTATTGTGTTCATACTTTAATATTACATTTATTCTTTTAGGGACTTAAATTTTTATATACTGTTTTCTATTAATATAATGTGAACTCGGATATTGACAGAATCCCTTTCTTTTCATTAAGCTAATTATTATGGGGGGATATATTCCAGATTTGTTTTGTCTCTACCTTCCTCTCTTCTACTCTTTCTTTGTTCAAATTACTGTAACTTGGCATGTGGCATCCTCCTCATTCCCCGTGCCTCAGATAGTCTTACTTTTTTTAAAAATATTTTTTAGTTGTTGATGGACCTTATTTATTTATTTATTTTTAATTTGTGTATGGTACTGAGAATTGAACTCAGTGCCTCATGCATGCTAGGCAAGCGTGCTACCACTGAACCATAACCCCAGCCTCTGATAGTCTTTACTTTTTGATAAAACAGTTTCCCAGATTCATTCTGATTTTTCTTATTCCAAAGAAATGGGACAGGGCTGTCTTTAAGAAGTCCTGGTTCCTTTTAGTGAAGAATGACAATAGAGATGAAAAGATGGTGTGTGGATAGGCATTGAATGAGGGTGAGATGTGCTGTTGATTTCAGGTAGACCATTTTTTAGGGATTGAATGAGAAAAGAATAATTTTCCTCATTTTGATCTTTACAATTTAATATGACATGCTTCTGTACTCTTAATTTTAAAAAATTAAATAGAGTATATGGTTTTCTCAGACCCCAAGACTTAGTAATTGCTACTTTGACTTAGCAAGAATGTTTTAAAACCATATCAAGATTTAGTAGAATAAAACAATCCCCATCCAAATGTTGTTAGTATTGTTGTTTATAAGGTCATCAAATTATACTTCATAAAGTGAATTTTCAATTATTTTAAGAGATGTAGTAGAAAAAATCCTGGATTTAAAGAAAGAAGACTTTAATTCTAGTCTTAGCTTAATCATATTGCTAAATGAAAATGATAAGTAACTTAAAATTTTAAAAAATTGCTAGTCTGTGGATAATAGATGTGAAAACACTAAAATACCATGTACACGTAAATAAATATTTATGTTGAAGATAAAACCAGGTAATATTTGCTTTATTCAATATTTTGCTTTCATGGTATTTTAATTTTTTTAATGCTAAGATTTTAAGTACTTATACAAATTTGGACAAGATGCTCATTTTCAGTATGCCATTTATAAAGTGATATTATTAAAAAATTCTTATGGCATTTTGTTGTTCCTATGTTCATAAAATATTTCTCATTAATAAATGATACATGGCTGGGGATATAGCTCAGTTGGTAGAGTGCTTGCCTCACATGAATCAAGGCCCTGGGTTCAATCCCTAGCACCACAGAAAATAAATGAATGAATGAATAAATGATATAGTAGTCAAGGCTTCAGTATGCGGTTTTCTAAATGAAACAGAACCAGAGCTCTTATTTACAAATTTGCAAAATTTTAGAAATACTACTATAGGTGTATATCTGTTTTTGAATATTGTGTGTGTATGTGTGTGTATGTATGTACATATGTGTGTATATATGTATATTTATACAGGTACACACACACATACACATGTATGTAATATTCTTTTCTTCTGGTGGGGGTAGGGTACCAGGGATTGAACTCAGGGGCACTTAACCACTGAGCCACATCCCCAGCCATATTTTGTATTTTATTTAGAGACAGGGTCTCACTGAGTTGCTTAATACCTTGCTTTTGCTGAGGCTAGCTTTGAACTACTGATCCTCCTGTGCTGCTGAGACTATAGGAGTGCACTACTATACCTGGCTTACATGTAATATTCTTATTTGTGTTTTAGGTGGTCTTGGAGGCATTGGAATGGGACTTGGTCCAGGTGGACAGCCTATTAGTGCTAGCCAATTGAACATAGGTGGTGTAATGGGAAATTTAGGTCCAAGTGGTGAGTATTCTTTATTTCTTTTTAAATGATATGTTTGCTATATTATGGCTTACATTTACTGGTTTGTCATAATGTTTAAAGGACTCCTCTAGAGCTATTTAGGATGTCATTTCAGTGTGAAAAAGAAATGAGACCTTGAGAGCAGTTAACATGCAAGAGGGTAGGCAAAGTTCAGGAGTGCTTCTCTGGGACCAGTCATGTTATAGCTAGCTTTTTAGCACTGTGGATATTGAAATATGTTTAAGGCAGAAGGAGAGTTCTCAACATAGTGCTGTGTGTATTCGGGTATCTGGGTATCCTTTTTTTTTTTTGCAAGGGCTGAAATGCTGTTATAGGCAGTTTAAATTTGTTTATTTAGTTAGGAAGGTCGCCTTTTAGGTAGCTCTTTGATTGCTTTATTTGGGCTAACTTTTGTTTGTTTTTAAAGATTGGTTTTCAAATTTTTTGGTATCAGACCCTTTTATGCTTTTAAAATTTGTCAAAAACCCCCAGGTGATTTTGTTTATGTGGTTATGTTTCTCAATATTTACTATAAAACCTAGAAATTATAAAAATTTACATATTTGTTTAAAATAGCAATAATTAACCCTGACTGTAAACTTAACCTTAAAGATTACATTTACTATGTATAATACATACAAAAATATAATATAGCACATATTTAACAAACTATTTCCAGTAAAAAAAAAAAAAAAAAGCGAGAAAAGTGGTATTTTTGTTGTGCATGTTTAGTTTAGTATAAGACAGCCATGCTATTATATCTATTTCTGCATTGTTTGCTGATCTATATCATCTAGTCTCTAGATATTTACACCTTATGTTATGCACATGAGAGAATGAGAGTAAAATTAATCAAATGATGTCAGTATTTGATGACTGAAGTGGTTTTGACCTGTTGGACCCTTGGAGGTCCCCATATCATACTTACAGTATTACTTTTTTATTTGATGGACTTACAATTGCTGTTAAATTCCTACTTTTGGTGACATGATAAAATTACACTTTAAATTATAAGGGTAGGTATGATAATCATTCTGATCCAGATTTTCTCCTTTACCCTTAGACTTATCATACCCTCACCTTCTTAAATACACACTATTTGTATTCTTTAATTTTTTTACTCTATTAACTATCTTCTTTAGAGGAGTCCTTACTTCCTCACCTGATCTCTAAAGCTATGGTAATATTTCTGTGTTATGAAAAAGTAAATGATTGCTCATTTATGAATAAACTGAATATTGTAGGTGTGATCACTGAATTTTGGTTTCTTGTCTATTGTTCAAAGAGGCCTTTTGGGAGACCTATGATTAGATAATCTACTCTGGCATAGCACTTTCCATCTCTTTGTATCAGGCTCCTTCCCTAGTGTTCCATTGTGACTAGTGATATCTGTTTTGCTATATAATACATTTTGTCACTCTTAGTCATAGAAATAAGATGCACTGAAAGTACATACTGTGTATTTTATTTGAGGTATGGGAATGGATGGTCCAGGTTTTGGAGGAATGAATAGAATTGGAGGAGGTATGTATAAGTATTTGTTTTTTGCATGTTCCCATCACCACTTTTTAGAAACTAGAAACTTTGTTGAGAATTCTAAGAAGAAAAGTCACAATTTATTTTTGGCTCATATCCTAAAGGATGCTAGAAGAAATTGAGTCAGGTGTATACTTAAGAGAAGGCAATCTATTAAATGAAGTAGCTACACAAAGTAGGGTGAATAAAGAGCTTATAGGTGAGACTTGACATTTATAAACTGTACCTTTCAGCTATATAACTGACAGTCAAATCTTAGAATTAATCTTTATTTCATAGGAATTGGGTTTGGTGGTCTGGAAGCAATGAATAGCATGGGAGGATTTGGTGGAGTTGGCCGAATGGGAGGTAGGTAAATATATATAGAAGGATGTATATACTATTTTACTTTTACTTATTATTGAAATTCCCCCCCTCCCTTCTTCACTTAGGAATGGGTGCTATAGATGTCTTCAGAAGGCATATGGGCACTAGGGGATAAGGACAGGCATGGCAGGAATGGGGATTGTATGTGTGGTGTGTGAGGTAAGTTGGGTAAATCATAGACTATTTTGTATTTATGACTTTTGCTTTTTTCAGTTTAGTTTAGATATGTTCCTGAATGGTTTACCATGCATTGATGTACTTGAAAAAGAGTTAATTTGTTGCACAATCTTTTCAGAGCTATACCGTGGCGCGATGACTAGTAGCATGGAGCGAGATTTTGGACGTGGTGATATTGGAATAAATCGAGGCTTTGGAGATTCCTTTGGTAGACTTGGTAGGGCTGGCTGAATGCTTCCTTTTCCTTTTTTCAGGTTATATTTTAAGAAATGGGGGTTCTCTTCATTTTTGTGAAAAATCAGAAGTTTATAATGTTCCATATAATTTATTACCTGAAGAAAACACTTTAGGGATTTTAATGTACTAGCTCTCTTTTCTCAGTATCTTATATATTTTAGAATCTATTTCTGAAATAATTTTTTATACTTTTCAGTTATTGTGTGTTTTCTGAGAGCTTAGTACCTTAGGAATTTTAAAATATGATTATTTAAATTAATTAGTATATTATCTTTCCATCCTTGTTTAGGCAGTGCAATGATTGGAGGGTTTGCAGGAAGAATAGGAGCTTCTAACATGGGTCCAGTAGGATCTGGAATAAGTAGGTTTAAATTTTACTTGAGTGCTTACAAAGACTTTGTAAGAGTTGTGATTATAGTATAGAAATACTTTGTTCTTATGTTTGTGTCTTCTTGTAATTTGAGAAACGTTAATAATTAATGAGCTAATAATAAGCCTCTCTGATCACTGTTTGAAATTTGTAAATTAACTGTTTAAATTTTACTTCTTTGATGTCTCCAAATTAACACCAGATTATGTGTTAACTATAAGCCAGTCCAAGAATCATCTTTCCACCTAAGGAATATGAGTTTTTCTCTGATTGTGTATCAGGAGCAACTTTTGCTTTAGTGACAACCTTGTTTGCATTTTATTTTCTGTAGCAGCTATTAGTGACTACCTTATTTTATCTATAAACATCTTGTGTGTTTTGGTAGATGCAGACATAATACTTGAGGGATAAGGTTTAAGGAGTTATTATTTCTTCTTTTCTTAAACCTTTTCCCATGATAGAATCAAGAATTCTGACAATACTGGAGAATGCTGAATATCTCCCATCTGTTTAAACTACCATATTTTAGGTCTTATAGTAAGCCTTAACACATGGCACATGGCTTATTTTTTGTTGTTTATTTATTTATTTATTTTTATATGGAATGCTTCACAAATTTTTATGTCATTTTTGCATAGGGACCGTACTAATTGTTTTGTTCCAATTTTAGTTTATGTGCTGTCAAAGCATGCACTTTTTTTTCTTTTTTTTTTTTTTTTTAGGTGCTGGGGACCAACCCCAGGGCCTTGTGATTGCTAGGTAATTGATCTACCACAGACACACACCTCAACCTTTATTTTTTGAGATGGGGGTTTTACCTAGTTGCCCAGGCTAGCCTCCATATTGGGATCCTCCTACCTCAATGTCCTGAGTGCTGGAATTATAGGCATGTACCACTGCACCCAGCAAAGGCTTAGTTTTTTAACTGTGTTGCTGCCTGAACCTTCCCTACTTTATTGACTTTCTTTAATTGATTAAATTTCACAAGCAGAAAATACAATTTACTAGACCTATTCTGAGAGAATTCTAAAGACCTGTTAGCTAAATACATTTAATTCATTGTACTTTCTTCTCGTTTTATTCATTTTTTTCATCATTTTTGTAGCTTTGGCCCTTTTTCTGTTAATTGTATCATCTTTACCTTCTTCTTTTATCTCAGTCTTTTACTTCTGTTTCCCTGATTTTTATACTTGCTACTAACTGAAAAAAGTAGTCAATTTGAAGGTGACATTTTTACATTTTTCATGTGTTAGATACAAGAAAGAAAAGATAAGTTTTAAGAATGAATATGAGTAGAATATTCAGTGAATAAAGTCAATGCTTAAAAATGAAGAAGGGATGAACCGGGAGCTAAATTCCCAAGCTTTGGTTAAAAGGAAACAATGCCAATTCTTGTTCTCACCACGTTTTGTATAATAGTGAAATTGAAAGTTTTTCTATATTGAAATTTGAATTGATATTAAAAGAATGATTATATGGGAAACAGAGGTGAAGATACTGAGATGAAAAAGTTAAAATTATGTAGGAGAGTATGATAAGACATATGCTGGAATTATAATAATTGAACTTATCTACTTAAATCTTTGTTCTAAGTTGTTATTAGTATGATTGGAAAGTAAAAATAAGGAGTAAGAATAATATCTAATAAAGCAATAGAATATTTACATAATATACTTTTATGATCAGAATATAATTTTATAGAGATATATGTAAATGTATTTATATGGTAGTTAGAATTAAGATGTCTCAACTAACCAGATATATATACCAAGTTAAATTCTATTCCTTTGAAAATTGTTATATTGTCTGTCTGAAAATAATTTTGTTTGTATATTATCTAATTATGTAAATGAATTTTTCTCTTCCCTTTTTACTCATAAATGATTCTCTCCTTTTCCCTTCCTTTCTCCTCCTGCTTTTGTTTTTGAAACAAAAACACAAAACTCTTAAAATCCCCCCTGCCCTTCTTGAAAATCCAGGTGGTGGAATGGGTGGCATGAACAGTGTGACTGGAGGAATGGGGATGGGACTAGACCGCATGAGTTCCAGCTTTGATAGAATGGGACCAGGTATAGGAGCTATACTGGAAAGGAGCATCGATATGGATCGAGGATTTTTATCGGGGCCAATGGGAAGCGGAATGAGAGACAGAATAGGCTCCAAAGGCAACCAGATATTTGTCAGAAATGTAAGCAAATAAATGGTAAAGGATACTTAAAATTCTTTTTTCCCCTGTATATGTGTTACTAATACCTCTTTTCATTCTAGCTGCCTTTTGACTTGACTTGGCAGAAACTCAAAGAGAAATTCAGTCAGTGTGGTAAGTATGCTAATGACGTAGATATGTTTAATTTATTGTGAAGGAAAAAATTGTTTTGAAATTTTTGAACATTGTATTAAGTCCTTTACTTGACCTAGTATCTATTCCTGAATAGTATGGATAGCTAGTATCTATTCCTGAATAGTATGGATAATGTTCCAGGTCTAACTTGATTTCAAATAAATGAATTATTTTCCTATCTTCTGACTTAAACAAGTGAAAATTACTGGTAAATACTGAAGTTTAGAGAATAGCCTGTTATCCTGTCAGTAAATCTTTTTTTTTTCTTCTTCTTTTTTTTTTTTTTTTAGTTACCCAATTTTAAAAAGTTGAATATAGGGGTTGGGGTTTTAGCTCAGTGGTAGAGCGCTTGCCTCTCATGTGTTAGGTACTGGGTTTAATCCTCAGCACCACCTAAAAATAAATAAATAGAGTGTATCCATCTACAACTAAAAAAAAAAAATTAAAAAAAGTTGAAAATGTACCATTGTTTACATTAAAAGTTTTTTCCTCATGAAATATATTAATAAGCAGTGTATTAATTTCCTTCTTTAAGAGTAGAGTCAGAATGACCCACTCAGATGCTGATATCCAGTTGATATGTAGTTAATAAGTGAGAGCCATTCTGTACACACTGTTTCTACAAGACACAAGACACTTAGCTGGTAGTATTGAATCCACTGCTAGTAATGCTGTAAACACCATATGTTCTGGTGGCTCTTTTGTAAATCATTATTGGCTATAATGACACTACCTATCCAACCTTAATGTATTCCTTAAGTCTGTAGAAGATTAGATGGATTATTACTTTTAAAAGAGAGCCTTTTATATACCATACTTATTTTTGCTATCAAATTTTATTTGATAAAATTATCATTTTTTTTTTGTAAATTATGATGAACGAATTAGTGCAATTAGCACAAAGAAATAGATTTCCTGATGTTACATGGAATCCCAGAATATATACTCCTAATAGTAAGATATGTAGGTAGCAAGTAATGATGAAAAGGGCTAAATATTTGGAATATATCTTTAATTTTTTTAAGGCCACAAAGGGACAAGTTTAGTGTTCTTCCATAAAAATAGCCTTTGTGAGCTACTTTCAGAGATAATAGTATCTACTGGATTCTTGATCTAACTTTTTACAGCTTTTATTGTTTGTTCACATTTTCTTCCATTGTAGATGGAGATCTTGAGGGCAAGAACTGTCTTTTTATCCTAGCACCTTTCATTGCCTCTGTACATATATTAAGAGTTTATGAAATGTTTTATAAGATAAGCATTCTGAGAATATCTTTCATTTATTAATTATTTATTCATTCACTCTTTAAGCCTGAAAATATTATATTTTTGGCAGTCTGCTAGGCACTTTGAAGGTGAACAAAGTCAGATACCCCAGTCCTCAGAACATACAGTGTGAATTGTTTAGGATGTTCGGTTGGCTCCCTTTGTTAGTTGTCCTTTTATTTTGGACTAATTTAAAATTTATGGATGGGAAACTTAATATTTATTTTCATAAAAAAGTTGTTAAGAACAAATCAACTAGTAAATACAGCCAAGAGAAAGCAAAATAGTAAAGTTCTTTCAAGGTGTTCATAGTTTTTAGGAGTAAGTACATTTATCAGAATGAGTAAGTAGCATCTGGCCATGAATCCTATAGACCACAGTGACATGAACATATTAGGGCCTTAGTGTTATGAGGAACAATGGCAGCAGGTATAGGTAATCTCTGTTCTTGTATTTTCAGGAAAAGCAAAACAAAACAAAAAAAAACTCCAAATAAGACATCTTAAACAGTAGACATGAGTAATAAGATAAAGAGCAAAGCAAGGCAAAGAAATGACAGTGAAAATGTGAGCAGTATTGAGGTGACTGTTCTTTATCCTTTATAGACACATGTTCTTTTGTTTTAATTTTTTTAAATTTATTTTTATTTTTGCATTACAATTCTTAATACACCATTATACCATAATTTATCATATCTCTGATTATATATAAGGTAACACATGTTCTTTTGATGTCAGGTATAAGCAAGGCAAGGCTTCCAGAAAACTTTAGGGCTCTTGGTGGGCTTCTGGTTGGAGTGGCATTTTTTTTTTCTTCCTGTGACCAAAGGTCATAATATATGTTAAAAATGGTTACTTTTGCTCAAATACATTCAATTAAATATTTATGTATATACGATGTTTGTGTCAGAATAAATTTCTATAATGGTAAACATTTTGGAAAATAATTGAAAGGGGTTGGCAAGGATTTGACCTATCACTTCCTATCCTTGAACCTAAGGTTGCCTGATTTGGATTTAGAAAAAGCAAAATCATATTACTGTAGGTGGCACAGTACAGAGGAAGAAACAAGGATGGGAAAAATTGATCTACATAATCTTTTTTTTTTTTTTAAAGAGAGAGAAGAGAGAGAAATTTTTAATATTATTTTTCAGTTTTCAGTGGACACAACATCTTTATTTTATTTTTATGTGGTGCTGAGGATCGAACCCAGGGCCCCGTGCATGCCAGGCGAGCGCATTACCGCTTGAGCCACATTCCCAGCCTGGACATAATCCTTTTATCAAGAATGAGACCAATTTTCTGTGCAGTATTAGTATTGCAAGTTGTTTCGTTATTCTGTTATACCACATTAATAGATCAAGGGTATTAGTAATACCTTAATTATTATTTCAGAAAACTTATTAAGTCAATAATAGATAAAGCAGATTTAGTGATGGAGTGGCATTGTTTTGACATGAGGTCAGCAATTGAAAGACATTTCCTGAAAAGAAAAACTGTCCAAATCTACATTAAAAAATTTTTGTACAATATTTTGTTTATATAGAATAGTGGTTATAAATGATTATTTTTTATTTCATTTTTTAAAACTCTGTTATTTTTGTTTGTTTTAATTGTAGATGGACAGCATGCCTTTTTTTTGTTTATTTATTTTTTATACAGTGGTAAGGTTCAAACCCAGGGCCTCACACATGCTTGACAAGCAACTCTGCCACTAAGCTATAGCCTCAGCCCTTAACTCTATTCTTACATCCCTTTTTTTGATTAGTCTGTATATAAGACTAATGATTTTTACATTTTCAATTCTTTTGTAAAAGCTTCTGACATTTCTATTTTATAGTAAGCTGATGCCATACTTATAAATTTCCTATCATCTTCTCTATTTTTAACCTTAAATTGTATTGATAGCAAAGAAAATAAGTTATGATTATATGGAAACAAATATACAGATACTGACAAATATAGATATTACCCGTCTTGTTTGAATTGAACCATCCTTTTTTTTTGTTCTTTGTCTTTTTCTTCTTGTAGTATGAGAAGTTTCTTTTAACTTGCCTCAAGCCAGTAATGGCCTTTTTGACATTAAAAGGCAGCTTTTTTGTTGTTGTTTTCTTGAGCTTTGGGTGAATAAGTTTATACTTTTGCTTGCTTCTGAAAAACAGGTTAGTGGTATTCTATGCATCTCTCCCAAAGAATATCTTCCAGTAAATGAACCTACTGGCAAGCCCCTCTGCTATTAAAATGTCTCTAGTAGTTAATTCTCTTTGATGGAGCAATTATAAAGGCTGAGGAAATATTATATTATGGGTTGTATTACCCTCAATATATAATTTTCTCAGCTTTTATAATTCAGGAAAAGTTTTCAGATCTTATATTTAACAAGGGGAGAAATAAATAAGTATAATGGCTGTTTCCCAGTTCTTCCTCCTAATTCCAGTAAGCCCCTAAAAGGTGATGTTTTTGAGCACAGGCCAGTAAGACACACATTATTTTGTAGTAAAATCTCTTTTTATCCTGCCTTATGTAACATGCATTTATAAAGAAATGCATAAGAAAGTTGAGTATCAATAAATTAACTAACCTATTTAGAGTTGGACCTCACATTAGTTTGGTTTGTGCACATTTTCAGTTCTTGTTCAGTTAATGAGGTCAAATAGGTAGTTTTCCAAACTTGCTCCTTTGTTGTTTATATGCTTCTTTGGCTCAGTATGATGCAGGACTCTTAAAATTTTAGACTTGCAATGCAGGGAAGGCTCATTCTCAATTTTTCCTTCTAGAAACCATGTAAACAAATATAACTTTGTTCTATAGATTTTCATTGTGTAACATTTCTACTATTAGTGTGCTGGTTAACTGCATAGAATGGTGACTTGTGGTAGGTTTTATTGACTACAACATTTACTTTTTTCAGAATGATTAGTGGATTTTGTAAAATAATAGTAATAACAATCCAATAATAGTAAAAATAATAATAAGTAAAGAAAATTCATTGGTGGAAGCACTTTTTTTTTGTTGTGAAGAAACACCCAATTTTTTTTTTTTTTTTTTTTGGTCCCTTGTATCGTAATTATGCTTTCTTACGGAAGAATGTCTGATTTTGTTTTTTTCTCCTGTGGTTATGTTATAGCTTTATTTATTCAGATTTTGTTGAACTATTTGCTCATTTATAGCTGCTTTAATTTGATCTATATTTAGATATGCTCTTATCAGCAATTCTGAAAGTATACTGACGTTAATAGATTGGGTTAAATAAAGTAGAAGTTTCTTTTAATGTAAGATAAATAATGTCTAGAACTATTGTATATAACAGCAATGAGTTTAATCGTGTTATTGATTTCTCTAGGCATACTATTTTGTCCTACACTCTTATTAAAAGTATCAGTTTTATTTTTGTTGAGTCCTTAGAGCATTTAAAAAGTTAGGTCTGATTTCAATTGATTATTTGAAATTAACTTTTTCTTTTGAATTAATTAACTTTGGAAAATACCTCAATTAGCATTTTTATAACAGTAGAAAGAAACTTGGAAAACTTAACAAACATTTCTGCTTCTATCCTACTGGGATTTTGGGGGGATACACTAAACTGTGACACAAGTATCTGTGGGTCATGCTATATAGCTTTAATATCCAAACTGTAAAAAATTTCAGGTATCTTAGCTGAGGGGTCTTGTCATCTAGAAAGGCTGAAGATCATTATGAGGTCATTGTGTGGTTCCTAAACTTGAGGGACATAGTTTAAGAGAATTGTTTAAAAGAGTCTTGTCCTGGAGATGGAGAGACAGATTATGCAAAAAATAGGACACATTTTCCTTTGAAGTTTTTAAGATTTCTTCCTTGATTGAACCCTACTGTTGCTTAAAAATCTGTGTGAAGTACTTAGAAAAACCCTTAATTTTTAGATAAAATTAGAATAAAGAAGAACCTTTAATCTTAAAGCCCTTAAATTCTCTACAGTCCATTTCAAAATCACTATAAAATACTGCCATTTACCAAGGTGTGCTTCTGTAATTAGACTTGCTTTTTTTCAGTTACCAGCTTTCAAGGTGTCATAAGGACTGTGGAAATAGTACTACATCTTAAAGAGATCTTCATATATATGTAGATATATGTTTATTTCAATTTATGTGTGTGTGTATATATATGTAGATGTATACATATGTATACATATATCTATTACATTTATCTATCTCCCAGTTTAATTTTGTGTTTACTAAAAAGTGTGGTTACTATTTTTTAATTAATTTTTTTTTCATGTTATCAGTTGTGCACTAAATATTATTTGGATCTACTTTAACCATTAAAACATGATTTCTCTAGATAGTAGTTTTGTTTTATCAAAACTTTGAGGGCACATTAAGAATTATCTGACCTATGTTATGGTTTTAGCTTCGTGTAACAATTATCATTTGTTACATATTTATCATCATAGACCATTTAATTAGTGCCAAGAAGATGAGCAACTGACAACTAGTGGTTTTAAAAGGAAATGCAATAATATGGGGTAGGAAAAAAAAAAAAAACACAACAAAAGTAAAAAAGTAATTCAGGGTGCTACAGATAGGAGATAATTCAGATCAAGATTTCAACAAGAAAATAGTCTTAACCATGTATTAAGATTAAAAATTGATTCTCTCATCTGAAAAGGGATCATGCAAGTGTTTGACAGGCCTTTTTTTAAAAACAAAAAACAAAAAACCTTTACTCTTCTTCAATTTTTGCCCCTTTTTAGAGCTAAATATGTCTGGCTGTATGTTTTTTTGCCAGATTAAAATTAACTCATACTGACCTACCAGCTATAATATTTGAAGTCCTCTAGTTTGATTTGTTTTGACATATACATCTTGAGAGGAGGGAAATACTATTGTAGTCACATCCTAAATTTAAGACCTGTTCGGATTGGGTCATCATGACTCCCAAGTTTGCCTCAATATAGTCTTACTTTACATTTTTTATTTATGTATAATTATTAATAATTCCCCCTTTTACTTGCTAGTATTCTGGTTTCAAGTACAGATTTCATGTTTGCTTTATTTGGATAAAGGATATGAATTTATTTCAAATGCCACTTAAAAAAATATTTTTAGTTGTAGATGGACACAGCACCTTTATTTTTTTGTTTTTATATGGTACTGATGATCACCCAGTGCCCCACGGGTGCTAGGGAAGCACTCTAATGCTGAGCTACAACTCTAATATTGTACTCAAATGTCACTTTTTAGAATTAGCAGTCATATTAACTGTGTAAGGAACAATTGTGAAATGTCTGATTTTTCTTATATTTTGAGAAACTGCTCTGAGGTTCTTTCTCCTTTGTGTTATTAACATCATTGTTTTTACCTTTGTTAATTTTAATCAGTGTTCTCTTTCATAACTGCTTCCATAACACATATGATGCCATTCTTAAGATTTTTGAGTCCAAATTGTGTTAGTGAATAAATGGCTTTGGTATTGCTGTAAAAGAACAGATTTGGTGGGGCTTTTTGTGGCCTGATAGAAATTAGATTTTCAGCATTCACTCTTATTTCCGTGAGATGAAGAAGCAAAGTGAAGATAAAGAGAAGGATGATTAGGGATTCTGGGCAGTGAGAAACTCTATTCTAAAGATAATTTTGATTAAATATATGTTTGGGGTCATGATGAGTTAATATTTTAAGCTAACTAGTCTTTATTACTATAAAGTTAATACTAGAAGCTAGGAATTTAACACAAATAAAACATATTAAGTCCTAAGGAAATTTATCTCAATTCCAACTTTATATATATTAATATATATGTACATTAGTATACATATGTTCATTACTCTATATGAATTGTATTCATAATATAAAATATGATAATTTCTTTATGAATTGTATTATATTCATAATACAAAATGATCTCATGTTTTATTGTTTTTATAACATTAATGTTTTAAGCCACGCTACTCATTACTTCATTGGCTATGAGGAATTTCAAATATGTATAGTAAAATGGAACTCATTTAAACTGACTAGTAATTCTGTAACTTTTCTTTTACAGGTCATGTAATGTTTGCAGAAATAAAAATGGAGAATGGAAAGTCAAAAGGTTGTGGAACGGTCAGATTTGACTCCCCAGAATCAGCTGAAAAAGCCTGCAGAATAATGAATGGCATAAAAATCAGTGGTAGAGAAATTGATGTTCGCTTGGATCGTAATGCATAATTTCAAACCACGGTTGGAACATTCCTTCATCTGTTTTGCTGAATCTACTAGTAAAAGTCATTTTTTTAGTAATACTGTATGCTTACAAAAGCTGTAAAAATGAACTTTTAAAATTCCCACCAGCTTTTAACAGTATAATGTTAAAAATATACTGTGATTTTTGTTAATCTCAAGTTTGGGTTTCCTAAAGACAGCAAGTCTGGTCATTCAGTTTAAATGAATGGTTATACTGTTTTTAATGAAATAAGCCATTTTCTTGTTGTTTTCAGTATGACATAGTAGTGTTTGTTCTAGTTTCCCCAGCCTTTATCAACTTATTGTACGGTAAATGATAAATGGTTTTTTCATAACTTGTGTTTTATAATATGTAATTGTTCATGAAAAGAAAGGGCTCAGACAAATTAGGATGTGATTTTGGTTGGTTTTAAATTGCTTTTCTGTGGTGATAAAGAATTACTATTAAGTAAGTTTTAGATTCTGAAATTTAGGATGTTTTTATTTGACTTAAATGAAGAAATGGGTTTTTCCTTCTCTACCACCCCCACCATTCACATTTTCCACATTAACACTATTAAGAATAATCAATCTCCACAGCCCCTTATTTTATTATTTCCAATAATTCCAAGTTCATATAGAACTGATAATGAAGCAAGCCCAATGTATAATAACAGGCAGACAGCTCCCAACCTTCTGTCTAATTTCCAACCATTAAAGTGAACTGCTAAAAAAAGAAAAATAATGGAAATGTTAAGAGAAATGGTTATATAAGTGAGTCCTTTGCTGTTTACTTCTACAGGAGCTGATTCATTTATAAAAGCAGTTTTAATAAGCCAGGGAACACCTAGGCATAGCATATCAAACACATTGGATCCTACAATGTTAGACATAGCCATGTCTCCTTTACCTGCAAAAGAAAAGCATGTTGTTAAAATGTGCATATAATACTGTTTTATTAATAATCTTCATAAGAAAAAAACACTGGATACTTTTTTGTTGTTGGTAGTTTTGGAAAATTGTTAGAGCAAGTCTTATTGAATTTGTATTTTTAAATTTTTCTTGGGTTAGTATTTAAGTTTAACATTTATTTAATAATGATTATCTTTATTTATTAAACCATTTTCAATAAGATATGTAGCTTACTCGTTGCTTTTCATTTTGATTTAGTTAATTACCATTTAATGCAAAATTCAGTTAAATCATTTGGGGAATTAGATTGAATGAAATTAATTTGCTATGATATAATAAACTTGTCCCTTGAGTCAATTTTTTTTTCTTCAAAAGTATGTTACTGAAGAAATAAATATTTTCCACATTACCTTGACTCAAGTGTATTTAGCTAAGCTTAAAGAAAGGGCACTGCAGCTTCCAGGTCTTACCTTTTCTTGCAACCAGCACACTTGCAACTGTATCTGGTATGCTTGTTCCTGCTGCTAATAGAGTAAGGCCCATTACTGTGTCTGGAATTTCTAGTGTTTCCCCTGTAAGACACCATAGATATTATAAGTTATAAATCTTACAGATGAGCTAACCACTCTCTTAGATATTTCAGATATTTCCTCTTTGTTCAAAAACAAAATAGGCATGTTTAGATTTCTGAATCAATGTGTATTTACTTAGTTTTTAGCTAGCAAAATATTTGAATTGGGTTGGTAATTTGGGTAACCCAGGTAGTACAGATTTTTAATGACATTTGTAAAGATATTTAGCAGCCACAATTTTACCAATGAGAAATGTTCGTTCTCCATTTGGTATTTTTATAGAAGTTGTAGATGTTCACTGTTATTGGGGTTGTTGTTTACTTAATATATGCTAATGAGACTGATAATTTTCTTTTTTTAAAAAATATTTTCTTAACATAGTGAGTTAAGCCAACTCTCAATTTGAGCTACAAATGAGTAAACATGTATGTATTTTAAAAGTCCTACTTTAAACATATACCTTAATTTGGTGTTTTCTTTGGGAAAGTCCAACAATCTTAGAAGAAAACAAAAACTTTTTGTTTTTGAGTCTAACATATAGTCCCAACTCATTAATAATTTCATTATATTTGATGTCAGTTTAACATTTTTTCAGGAATGTGCTCGTTCTGGGAAACAGAACCAAAGGGTAGTTAATATGAAAAAAAGAAAGGGACATGTAACTAACTGAAAACACAGTTTAGAATATTTTTTCTGTATCCCCCCCCCCCCCCCCAATAATGCTAGTTAAAATAACAATTATAAAGTAGCCTATTTCTTGCATGTTCATTTTCTTGGTATTGGAATTGGTTGTTAATTTTTGTTACTAGTGTTGCTTGAGTTCATATGTACATAAATAACACTATTATTTATAATCTTAGGGGCTGTTCTGTGATCTCTTACTTGGTTTTGCTTTTTTCTATTATCAAATATGTTCTGACTGAGAAAATTTGGATAGACTTAATATGTAAGATATTTGGACTTTTTCATTTTCTTCATTAAAAAAAGAAAAAGAAATATTCTGCTTTTTCCTAACATACTATTTTAAGACGTCTATTAATTTGGAAAAGTCAGGGTCAGCAAATTTTGGGGGTGGAAGAGCCAGATAGTAATAATTATTGAAACTATCAGGCTATATGTTTTCTGTTGCAATTATTCATTTCCACCAGTGTAGTGTAAAAGCAGTTATAGATGACATGTAAAGAATGGGCCTGAATGCCTTCAGTAAAATTTTACTAATAAAAATAGGCTGGGTGATTTTGGCAAATAGGCAATAGTTTGTTTACCTTTCCTATCAGCCAATTCAGGTAAACTTTTCTTTTTTTTCTTTTAAGAGAAATTTCTAATATTTTGTCTATGTTTATATTCAGTTATTTATTTGGGAACTAGAGCAGATTATTTCCGAGCAGTAATAATTAAATCTTTATCATAGAAATAGTAGAAACCTAAAATGAAACTTTATTTTATACTCTTTTTCGTCACTTTATTTTTAAAAGCAAAATGAAATATAATCTAGTTAAATAGCACTCATCATTTTCTCAAAACAGTGGCTCTTTATTCTATTTTTCATTATGGAATAGAATTCAATATATTTTATTGTGAATTCCTTGTAATGTGATTTAATTATTAGCATAATAGATATCTTGTGAATTTGGTTTCATTTATAAGATAATTTCTTGGACTATACCCCAAGCTATATAGTAGTAAGAATATAGTGGATACATAAGCTGGAACTCACAAAACCTGAATGATCTTGTTGTTGTATTAATATTTAATCTCTCTGTAAATAGCACTAATATTAGTCTTGCCAAAAAAGAAGTGTGCTTCCTAGACTACTTGAAGTGAACCTATGTAATTTGTTTTTACATGAAATTATTTTCTTGTGCTGTTATACTTAAGATACATACCAGTTATTGTGACCATCCATACCAGGATATATGTAAATGCAGATATCCATAGTGCAGACATGAAAAAGGTTATGACAAAGTAGTTTTTCCAAAACTTTCTTCTGCAGTCTGGTGTTGTTAGAAAAAGTAATGTAATAATAGGAAGGGATAATACCCAAAAAATTCTTTTTAAGTCTGCTTCAGGCATGTTGAAAACACTTGGTGGATCTGTTGTGGAAAAATTAAACAATTTTGAGTTTTCTCAAATGGCCAATTACATTGGAAATGCCCATTTAGAAAGCAATATTGAAATAAATTAGCTGTATCAGTTTCTAAAAGGCTATTTAAAACATTTGAATACCTCATTACTGATATTGCTGGCAAAAAGAAACTAATTGAAAGTTGAGGGCAGACAGTGTAAGATGTGATACTCAGCATTTCTTGATTTAAGGCCTTAAATCCATCAAAATTTCCTGGACCATTTGCTAAATATGTCAGAAACAATGTTTATGAAGGGGGAATTGGACATCTCTTGATTGCCTATATTAAGGATTGTCCTCAGGGACATTTTTGGGGGGATTAACCTGGCTTCTATCCCTGCTATTTCATTTGCCTCTCTTTCTAATATTGATCTTGCTTCTGGCCTGCCTTATGATAATGCTTACTTAGGGAGTAAAAAATAATTATAGCATAATCCTATTGTTGTATATTCTAATTCTTATTTTAAATTGGTTTTTGGGTCCATTTTGTAACTTATTTTATTAAATTTGAGCTTGACCACAAGTCCTAGGAAGAAAGGGCAGAGAGAGAGAGAGAGAGAGAGATAGAGAGAGAGATAGAGAGAGAGAGATAGATAGATAGATATGGGGGGAGAGAGAGAGAAGGAGCTAGTAAATAATCTACAGTGTAACTTTTAACATTTGACTATGTTCTTTTTGTCAGTTTGTTTTAAGTTAGTGGAGGGTAAGGATAACAATATATTGGATAAAAATGAGAATTTTATTTTGGAATTGTTTAAAATTTGTATGGCATTTACAAAATAATGTACTCATTGGGACAAACTGCATTAAAACTAATGCTAGTAAAACAACTTCAAAATGTTTACCAAGCTTCAACCAATATGACATTAGGTATTATTAGATATAATTTCAATGTAATAAAAGAATCTGGACTTGTTCTTTTGAGTTTCTTGTTATAAAACTTAAGTTAGAGGTGTATATTTCTTGTACCTTGAAGACTAGAAACTAATTTTTGTAAAAAGGGGAAGAAGTCACATTGTATTTTTTTAAATGTTAGAATAGGCCCTTTAATCACTTAATTAAAATTACAATCTGTTTTGTACAACCCCTTTTTAAACAGTATCTTGAATTTGTGGCCATAGCTGATTTTGACTAAGCAAAACGTGTGTGTGTGTGTGTGTGTGTGTGTGTGTGTATTTTTTCCCCCCAACCTTAATGTTTTGCTAACTGCTTCACATGACACATTTAAACCTCAGTGGTTTTCCCCTCTTCCAAACCAGCCCTTTTATCTGAATTACCCTCTTTTTTTTTTTTGATCTCAGTCAAGATAAAAATCTTGGAATTGTCTTTGTTCCTTTTTTTGGCCCTTGCCAAATCTTAAAATTCCTTTACATTGTCTCACATTTATTACCTTTCATCCTCACTGTCCTCTATGTAGGTATCTATTAAGCATGTCAGGATGTTATAATAACCTCTCAAAGATCTCCCTGTCTCATATCTCAGATACCAGTTTTTCTGTGAATATTATTTCAGGATAATATTACTAAAGTACATTTCTAATAATTTCCCACCTCACAAACCTTCCAAGGTACAATGCTTACACTAGCATGTAAAACTCTTCCTACCCCATTCTTCATCCTACCCCATACCTTTCTACCCACCTTTCCTCTGCTTCCTTACTGTGCATTTACTGACTCGGCTCCATTTATGTTAGTACTCAATCAGGCCTTTTACTAATGTTGTTTCCTTGGCCTCAGTTCATAGAATATACATTACTTATCTCTACATCACTTATGTAATAAAGGTTTTAGTAGTTATTAATTCTCGTTATAACATCAAGTCATTGAGTTAAAAAATCTTACTTGTCCCACAAGCAATTTAAATGCTTTTATACTTTGTGTTAATTTCCTATCTAGCTTCACTGAATTTTATACAGTCTGTCCAATTTATGAACCGTGGTTATTTTTATCTCTTTGTGGTATTTATTCCTTCATGTTTTAGCTTTTTTGGTGGAGAGATTGTTTGTTATTTAATAATGGAACCTCCCTAAGGCTGGGACTTTCTTTTCATATTCTCTGAATCTCCAATGTCTTTTATATAACAAGTACATAATACTTGCTAAATTAAAATGAAATTCTTAGATTTTTCTAGTGGAAAGATTTACTAGTGAGCAGAATGTAGTTATTACCTTCAGAAACCTGACTAAGTCCATGTAAACTTATAGAAAGCTGGGAATAACCAGAATCTTCATGAAATATTCCACTATCAGTTCTTGATTGCCGATGAATGAACAGTTGGCCCTCATCTTCCCATTCCATCAGTGTCTGTTGTTCACTTCTCTCTTCTAGAGCGTTGGCAAGACAAGTACAGCGACTGCATTTCTTTATAATATATTGGTTAATTTTAATGTCGAAACACAGGACCAAAACATATAATCCATATATCAAAAGTAGTAAAGTTCCTTCATACCTATAAATTAAAGAGGAGAAATTTGTACTTTTAAATTAAAAGAAGTCATTTTAGAGCTAATAACTTTTGGTCAGTATCTTTTGATAATTTTCTAACAAAAGCAGCCTAAGAACAATCACAGATACTAGATATATTTTTGTAGATTTTTCCAAACTTGGTTAGAGTGTTATAAATTCATGGATAAAATTCTTGATACTTTTCTGTATTTAAAAAGGAGTATAAATCCATTTTCTACATTTATAGATTCCTTCCAAATGTTAGGCCTAAAAAGTGCCTTGAAAATTATCACTGGAGAGTTTCAGAATAAAACTAACGAATACTGAGCATTTTCCACCTCAGTTCATTGACAGTATGTTTCCCTCAAATATATAGTAATTATAAAAGAATATAACATTTGTTAATTTATTTGAAATGTCCCAAATTAAATTTTCTGGCATAGGAACTTTGGCTGGGGCTTTTCAATTTGTTATGCAGAAATTTTGGGGGGGGGGGGGGGGGGGGGGTGAATTTGGCTTATACTCACAAGAAAATATAGTCTCTAAAAATAAGTACTGTTTCCTGCTTAAATGTAATTACTAATGCCATCACACTTGAACCTTGCATTTACTTTTTATTATTTTGTAGACAGTGAATCTCTTTGCTACAACTGAAGGAACAGAGTTCCTGGTATCCCTAAAGGAGGGAATACTCCTTAGCTTGGATAGTTTCACAGTCCCTGTCCCTTGAAGAAAACTGCTGAATTCCAGAGGATGTTATTATACTAGCTGTCTTTGGGAGAGCCACAGATATCAGGACGATTAACTTGGAAATTCTCTTCCCTATTAGATTTTTAAGTTTCTTGATAGCAGATATCATGTACTGCTGCTAAATTGAGTACTCCAGAGGAGTACCATTAACCTTGTTTTGTATTTTTTCTTGTGCTTTCTGGGAGTTACACAGTGTACATGTGTGGCCATGTGTTTTACATTTCTTTTATGATGCCTAGCATAATAATAAATACCTAGTAGATGCCTGGTGCTTATTTGAAAAAGTTTTTAGCTGTCCAGTAAGTCACTTTTTCCCCCCATTTTCTTGTACCAGCTAGGCATAGAGAGATTATAGGGAAACAAATAATTTTTAATATTGACACCTAAACATGGTTGGTTCTTTAAGGAAGAAGGCTAAATGAACATTGGAGAGAAATTTGAAGGAATACAGAAATTTTTTTCTATCATCTTTCTCCAATCTGTTGTGACCATGACCAATTCTTACTAAAGCAATAACCTAGTAGAAGAAAAAGCCAAAAGTTGGGGCTTTTTTTCAGACAACAAAACTTGAGGTGATTAATGAACATCAGCCAATGGGAAGAACAAAGAGTGGTGGTCTTCAGTGACTAGTGAGTGAAACAGGGAGGTTATGATGTGACCAAAAAGAAGTTGCAAAATAGTGAGGAGAACCCATCAGCAGTTGTGATGAGGAAATTAGCCCAGAGACTCATTGGAAAATAGTGTAGAAGTAGCAGATAAATGAGAAGTGACTGACATGACATTTCTAAAAAAATATTACTGAAGCATCAGATTTCATGAAGTTCTCTTTGTAATTATGTTTTACTTAAGAGTAACAATTATTTCAAGCTTACCAGTAAACTTGGTTGTCAAATATTATGCCAAAAACTGCTGCCACACTAATTGCATATGCTGCACAGTCTCTGAAAAGGGGCCAACATGATAGCGTTGAAACCTGTAAAATGATAGTTTGATTTACTGTTTCCATTATGGTGTAAGTAATTCAATTATAATGCTTAGTATAAAACTAAAGCTGTTTGTTTATTTGTAGTAAAATATTGTTACCTTTTGCATATTGCTTAGAGAGAAAGGAATTTTAAAGGAAAATTGTTTCTAAACCTACACTGACTTTCATAAATTTGAGCAAGAGCTATTTGTGGGTTAACTAAATTGAATAAATGTTTTTCTACTGATTAATACATTTGATTGAATGCATTACTATTGCCTTGTTGTTCATCCTAGACAATAAACTTGTTTTTAGAACTTGTCAAGACAATTTTATTGAATAAAGTTTTCTTACATACCACATTAGATAGCAAGCCACAGGCTGCACAGATGCCAAGGAGATTATAAATTGCAGATCCAAGAATAGTACTAATGCCAATATCACCCTTTGTGATAAATACACCTACGAACAAGATTGTGTACGTTAGTGTTAACTTAAAAGGAATAAAATCACGCTGAGCTAGCAAAAAGTCTTAGGAGCAATATTTACCTAGGAAAGCAGTAACTAATTCAGGAGCTGAGCTACCCGCTGCCATGAAAGTTGCGCCTGCAACATCCTGAGACAATCCAAGGGCTGAAGATAAATGAAATTATTATTATGCCTGGTAAAGTGACAAATGAAAGAGACTTAAACTATAGCTTCACATAAGACTAATATTGATTTAAGCTGCAGGTTATAAAATTTATAT